ACGTCCTTGTCAAGGTTAATTGTTAATTTACCACTGGAGACGTCCTTGTCAAAGTTTATAGTTAATTTACCACTGTAGACGCCCTTGTCAAGGTTCATTGTTAATTTACCACTGTAGACGTCCTTGTCAAGGTTCATTGTTAATTTACCACTGTAGACGCCCTTGTCAAGGTTCATTGTTAATTTACCACTGTAGACGTCCTTGTCAAAGTTTATAGTTAATTTACCACTGTAGACGTCCTTGTCAAAGTTTATAGTTAATTTACCACTGTAGACGTCCTTGTCAAGGTTCATTGTTAATTTACCACTGTAGACGTCCTTGTCAAGGTTAATTGTTAATTTACCACTGGAGACGTCCTTGTCAAAGTTTATAGTTAATTTACCACTGTAGACGCCCTTGTCAAGGTTCATTGTTAATTTACCAGTGTAGACGTCCTTGTCAAGGTTAATTGTTAATTTACCACTATAGACGTCCTTGTCCAAGTTTATTGTTAATTTACCAGTGTAGACGTCTTTGTCAAGGTTCATTGTTAATTTACCACTGTAGACGTTTTTGTCAAGGTTCATTGTTAATTTACCACTGGAGACGTCCTTGTCAAAGTTTATTGTTAATTTACCACTGTAGACGTTTTTGTCAAGGTTCATTGTTAATTTACCACTATAGACGTCTTTGTCAAGGTTCATTGTTAATTTACCACTGTAGACGTCTTTGTCAAGGTTCATTGTTAATTTACCACTGGAGACGTCCTTGTCAAAGTTTATAGTTAATTTACCACTGTAGACGTTTTTGTCAAGGTTCATTGTTAATTTACCACTGGAGACGTTCTTGTCAAAGTTTATTGTTAATTTACCACTGTAGACGTTTTTGTCAAGGTTCATTGTTAATTTACCGCTGTAGACGTCTTTGTCAAGGTTCATTGTTAATTTACCACTGTAGACGTCCTTGTCAAGGTTTATTGTTAATTTACCAGTGTAGACGTCCTTGTCAAGGTTTATTGTTAATTTACCACTGTAGACGTCCTTGTCAAAGTTTATTGTTAATTTACCACTGTAGACGTCCTTGTCAAGGTTCATTGTTAATTTACCACTGGAGACGTCCTTGTCAAGGTTTATTGTTAATTTACCACTGTAGACGTCCTTGTCAAAGTTTATTGTTAATTTACCACTGTAGACGTTTTTGTCAAGGTTCATTGTTAATTTACCGCTGTAGACGTCTTTGTCAAGGTTCATTGTTAATTTACCACTGTAGACGTCCTTGTCAAGGTTAATTGTTAATTTACCAGTGTAGACGTCCTTGTCAAGGTTCATTGTTAATTTACCAGTGTAGACGTCCTTGTCAAGGTTTATTGTTAATTTACCAGTGTAGACGTCCTTGTCAAGGTTAATTGTTAATTTACCAGTGTAGACGTCCTTGTCAAGGTTCATTGTTAATTTACCAGTGTAGACGTCCTTGTCAAGGTTTATTGTTAATTTACCAGTGTAGACGTCCTTGTCAAGGTTAATTGTTAATTTACCACTGGAGACGTCTTTGTCAAGGTTCATTGTTAATTTACCACTGTAGACGCCCTTGTCAAGGTTTATTGTTAATTTACCACTGGAGACGTCTTTGTCAAGGTTAATTTTTAATTTACCACGGTAGACGTCCTGGTAGGGATTAATCACGGAAGACTTCCTTGTTAAAACTTATCGCGGTAAACCTTTATCTCAAATTATTGATTTTCAATAGCAGTTATTCTCGCTTTCATTCATCGCGGCAAACTTACTCACATACTATCATAGCGGTAAGTATTCCTCTCAAATATATACCGGTGAATCTTTATCTTGTATTTATAAATTATATACACTCAATTTCAATATACAGGTACCAGGTAACCCAGTTGTAGTTGGGTGATTTAGTTTGACCTGTTATCGGCTTCAATCGTTATACTATAACACAGTGTGTGTTTGATCCGGGTACTTTGTGTATAACTTTCATCATTACCAGGCTATTACTTAACCCACGTATAAAACAGAGAACATTAACCCTCGTTAGTTCTTAATGAATAGAACTCAACACCTCTTTAGCTAATTAATGATTTCAGTTTTAAATGAGTTTCCTCTATTGACTTTGACAATGTATTAACAAGTGGGCTGTCTGGTGTAAGTTTTCTGATAGGGAGTGATATATTACCGTTACTTCGTCATGGTACCTAATTACATCCGTTGTATTATGATAGGATTCCACTGAAGGAGCTATTAGTCTCAATCAATCAAGACCGTTTTCAAAACGATCAGTCAAAATGACCAATAGCTGAAGGTTGAGTTATATTACGAGATCGTTATGAAGACATTAAAAATATAGTCACGGTCACCTGACGTTACTTATAACGACATGTGCGATAACTTCTCTTCTAAACGGATATAACAAATAGTAAAGGGTGTATCGGGCTGCATTAAGATGTTACAAAATTAACTGTCTTAATTGTGTGTCTAACAAAATATTTTAAGGAAGATGAGCATTAATTTGAAAAGTTATGTAATTATGTCGTTGACTTTGTTTATATATTTGTTCTGTTGTTCTGTGATTATTATGTGAATAATTCTAGTGACGATTACTAGTGATTGTTGATTTGTTATACATATATGTATGTAAATCAGTCTTCTCTTCTTCTATATAGTCTGGTATGTCATCTGAAAATATTGTGTCGAAGCTGAACATTTATCGATACAGAGGTGATAACGAGAAAATAGTGCTTGAACATCTTTATTCGGTACCACATAAGTTTTTACACTTTAATATTTGTCATGTTATTACAACAACGTGTAGTGATATATATTGTAACAGCTGTAACACCAATGTGTATTGATATATATTCTAACAGCTATATTTTACAACAACGATAAGTGATATATATTCTAACAGCTGTTACAACAACGTGTAGTGATATATATTTTAACAGCTGTTACAACAACGTGTAGTAATATATATTCTAACCGCTGTTACAACAACGTGTAGTGATATATATTCTAACAGCTGTTACAACAACGTGTAGTGATATATATTCTTACAGCTGTTACAACAACGTGTAGTGATATATATTCTAACAGCTATAACTTACAACAACGTGTAGTGATATAAATTCTTACAGCTGTTACAACAACGTGTAGTGATATATATTTTAACAGCTGTTACAACAACGTGTAGTAATATATATTCTAACCGCTGTTACAACAACGTGTAGTGATATATATTCTAACAGCTGTTACAACAACGTGTAGTGATATATATTCTTACAGCTGTTACAACAACGTGTAGTGATATATATTCTAACAGCTATAACTTACAACAACGTGTAGTGATATAAATTCTTACAGCTGTTACAACAACGTGTAGTGATATATATTCAACAGCTATAACTTTCATTAAGGTTCCTTTCATTATCAACATTTTACATGATGAACTAGTGTCTTTCGCATGAAGTGTAAATACCCTTTATTGATTTTCATATTCGTTCCAAATGTAACACTATATTCTTACAGCTGTTACAACAACGTGTAGTGATATATATTCTAACAGCTATAACTTACAACAACGTGTAGTGATATAAATTCTTACAGCTGTTACAACAACGTGTAGTGATATATATTCAACAGCTATAACTTTCATTAAGGTTCCTTTCATTATCAACATTTTACATGATGAACTAGTGTCTTTCGCATGAAGTGTAAATACCCTTTATTGATTTTCATATTCGTTCCAAATGTAACACTATATTTGATTGGTCAACGGAACTGATTCACGAGCGTATAACCACGATATACCGTTGCTGGGGCCACTAACTCAGATTTCTGAAATTACACACAAAATCAACACTAAACATCGGTTTTTACATGTTTAACTATATATGAAACAGAACAGAGGTAACTGGTTTTTAACAAGTGTTTTATGTATGTTTCTAACACAGATATCGACATTTGTTGGAAGGTCAACGAGGCCGCACTTTATAGTCGGTGAATCATTCTATATTATTGTTCATTCTATCTTTGTTTCTTCCTCATTGGCCATAAAAATGTTATTTCTTTCCCCAGTTTATAACTAACATTATTACCAATAAACCCTATGTTGTGTAAAGAATAATGCCACTTCCCGAATAGTGACAAGGCTGTGGCTATATCCAATTAGTACAGCTATAAAACATTGTCAACTATAAGGTTGGCTTCACTTCGAAATTAAACAAAATCAGCAGAAAATATATTAAGACAAGTGATTTTCAGATACACAATGTAACTTCACCAGGCGTACATTTGATTACAACACATTGATGGGGAGATAATTCACAAAGTAAATTACATATCACTTTCAAAATATTGCCGAGAAACTGAATCCTGTGACGGGGATATTCAATAAAAAATGTTCTCTAAAGAGGATAAATTGTTGAACACAACATCGTTATTAACAATATTAATTGGCAGGAAACAGCATTGCTCTTTAAGAAATCATGTAAATTAGGTTGACAATATATATTTGACGGGTCATAACGAAGGTTTCGGTATCATTAGGTACAGGAGCCGATTAGTAGATCGTACGTAATTAGGAGAGGAAACTACACTTCGTTAATCAGTTGGACGATGCTTTGATCGATGAAGTTTCATCAGTGGTAACTAGAAGAACACAAGGTGATGCCTCTCTCACGATGAAATGTAAGCCATGTCGTTGTTTGAACATTAAATATTGATAAGCACGTGACCATACTAAATTATTAACACAGCAGGAAAGTCATTGATATCTATAGCACGTCCTAACATTTATTTTTAGATTTAGATTTATTTTCAATGTTTATTTCTCTGTGATATCAATTTACTGTGCGGCATATTTTAGGTGTCCTTTTTGTTTGCTTCCTGTCTTGTTAAGTCGTCACTCTACATTTGATTCGTGCCACCTTCTAATAATCTACACACACATTTATGAAAAACCCAGCTGAATTAGTAAGCATTCCTACAACTATGTCTTGTCTGAGGTATTCATGCTGTAGTTATCACTCCTGGCCTCGGGTGCCTACTTTCTGAGACACGTGTCTGAACTGTCTGATCGTCCGTTTCTGCCGGTGCCGTCCGCCTCCTTCGTTTGATGATGATGTACACTATTCCATTCAAGATTCCTCCAATGTTGGAGAACGTGGTAACGAATTGGAAGATGGCTTGTGGTACCTCGGCTATAAGTTGCCACACTCCATAGAACGCCATTGCCCACCACTGGATGAAGAAAGCCATGACAAACAAAGACATGGACTTGGCAGCTCTGTGAGATGCCGCCACTGTGGACGCGTTTTTACCGACAGTGCCTTTGATCCTCTTGGCCTCGGAGCGGATTCTTGTCCAGGTGAGGACATACATGATGATGTTGATGGCTAGGACGAGCAGGAGAGGAACAGTGGTGAAGAAAATGTTGGTAATTACGCCCTTGACACCATCAAAATAGCAACTGTAAAAAATGGCAAAAGAATGAAAAAACTTTTAAAATAACAAATGTCACAAATAAAATGTGTTGATAGCAAAAAAAGCCAAACTTTGTACTAAATTTCCACACTCTATACTTTTCGTATCTCTGTATAGATATGAATTTTAATGATATAATCCAATGAGATGAACATTATCCGAAGTCAATGCAGTAGTACCAACCTACCATAACCTGCGTATGTTATCTCACGCACAGTCTATTCATTAAACACCATATCCATTGTTTATTCATACGCATAATACACACGTGTATTATTGGTGACAGTTAAATCTATTGGACGAGGCATTAACAGTTGACCCAACAATGATCTGTGACCTCGAACTACTTTCGCCACGTGCGATTGTTTTCATCGTCTGCTGTCCATCATCAACATGGCTGACAGTGACGATCTGTCATTCTTGCCGGCGGTCAAGATCGGTGATGCGGTAAAACTGTGTGGAGGGGAAAAGGGTATAGTAATTGGTAAATGCAGTAATTTTGGTTTCCCAACCTTTGATATTGTGATGTACAGTTCTGATGAAAGTGATCAGAAGTTCTCGAAATTACACGCCATCTTAATCGTGTCTGCATTCACATTTTCCCGCGAAGAAGCACTACTCTTATACGCAATAACATCTATTTCCAAATTATTTTTTTTAAAAGATAAACAATTGGTGTAATTTTGTAACGTGTTTCAATGAACTAATGTTACGGGATGTTTCCAAACAATATTACTGAATAGATAAGTCTTTTGCATCAAAAATAGCGATTTTGTCTCTTTTTGCATATCAATGAGCCAATCAGACAACCTACGATGTATTCTTACGCGAAAGTGTCAATGGGGGCGAAACAATGTTGTACACAATATATATATTTTTACGTTAAAAGGTTATGGTAGAAAGAAGTTCTACAACTCATGACAGTTGATTATCATCGTTATCTAACTCGAGCCTCGTGTCTTTTCTAAAAAATTAACTAACTCGAGTTAGATAACGATGATAATCAACTACCACTCGTTGTAGAACCTCTATTTTTACGATGTTTGATCATGGTGTTATTGTCCTATTTTGATGCAAACGTCAAATATTTACAGGTTCCTTGTAAAATTGGTTTCAATGAACAAGTACTTCATTGATTTATATAGAAGTGTTGGTAAAATTATACGTTATTGTCATTTTTTTGTCTGGGACTTTTTTTATAAAAAAAAAAACAATTGACGTCATCATAAACTGGGAAATCCCCTTTTTGTCCATGACATCGCGGCAAGCCTACCCTACCTTAATAAATGATACGGAGTTAAATGTTGTTCAATACAAGTATTTCCATGTATCTATCGCTAATTAAAATATTTAATTTCCAAAAAATAAATATTTCTAATGGTTATTCATGTTGCGTTTGTAGTCTGTCATTTTGCTCTCGCGGAAGAATGTAGAATTTAGGAAACGTGAATGGTGATATTCACGCGACATTCAGACACTTGTACCGTGGGATTTTTTTTTACGTCGTGGCGGAAATAATGGGGTGGGAGAAAAATAATCAACCCCTACCCTCAGAGGATGTGACAGAGAAATGTCCAACCCTCGGGGTGATTTTTTTGTAGTCTAATCCTCGGCAGAGCCTGGGGTCAGACAACAACAAAAATCACCCCTCGGGTTGGAGATTTCTCTATCACACCCTCAGGGTAGGGGAAGATTCTATTAGTCACACATTATTGTACTTCAATGACTGAGAAGAGAAAGAGAAATTGATATCCATTAGCAATAGTTAAGCTTATAATAAAGATATATAACGAAATACTTATCTATTGAATGGTTACTGCGAGGTTTAAAATAAGTTGATTAGAAAGTTATGATTTAAATAGTAGCACATTCCCTGATTCTTTAACCAGTATATTGTTAAGATATCTATGGATAAATAGATAATATCTATGGATAATCTATGGATTACTGACCGGAAAAATCCTCTAGAAGTGTATCCTTGATATATTGAACCATTAACATCAGATCTTATCAAGAAATTTTCGGTCAAGTAGAAAACAGATTCATTATCAATTCTCCTCATTTAGGTCAGGTAGAACGATGTGAAAATTGATTAAACAAAATCAGGACCACTAACTTGTCGCACGCAGTGGTATTTGTACCGACAGAGTCAACTGTTTGTTTGATAATGAGTAGACAGTGATTAATGAACCAGAATCTACACCTACTCTCTAGGTATACGGCTGTATATATTGCATTTAGCTTGAATCAGATATGATACCTGAAAGATAAGATAAAAGTAGGAGTTGTTTGATTACGTTTGGTCAGGTAATGAGCACTGTCCGTACGACTGACAAGTTTTAGAAGTGAGAAGTATATACATGTGTATTGAAGACACGTGAGGCTATTACCATCAATGTCTCAATTTCCTAATTGCAATTAACGACTTAATCGATTGGAATCAACTAAAGCTTTGTAGGTAAAAAACATTGCATTAGATAAATGAGAAATTTCCGCCTTAACTAGATATAATCTCCTCTATTTTACACCTATTTCGTGTAGTAAATTTAAACTGTATTAGGACATTGATCTATAGCGTCTGCAGTATAGGAAGTGTTTTCTTTTTTAACTCAGTTTTGGTCAAATATCTATTGTCATTACATATGGCAAATTTGAGATTGTCTTTATGAGTATTTAGATATATGTCTATGGTTTCCTGGGGGACCATAGCAATTCTAAGGAATTTCTCCGAGAGTGTGTGATATACTTACGACAAGCATCCCACGCTTATTTTTCTTGAAATGATGTCGTGACACAGGTCACACCCTCCAATAGGAGGTTTCGCTTTAAATGACTGAGCCAAACAATCTTTATTCAAATCTCTACTTTTCACTCGAATTTCAATTCCTCTTTTTTTTTAATCTTCGCAAGGTGATGATGTCTATGATGACAAATTCATTGACGTTTTACATGGGACATTTCCTGTGCAGTCATCAATTCTAGGAACACTTATCATACATATACTTATAGAGGGTCATAATGTAAATATCAAAATGAAGCGGAAAATTAGATAACCACATATATACATACCTGAAAGCCAAATAGATTTATCATATCTACATTGTCTAGTTACAGTGAAAATTAATGATACCCCTGCCAACTGGATAAACTAAAAATTAACGATATCATTAACTATATCCTCATTAACCATTAGCTAAGTACAATAAAAGTGAACCATATCCTTATTAACTGGGTACAATAAAAGTGAGCCATATCCTTATTAACTGGGTACAATAAAAGTGAGCCATATTCCCATTAACTGGGTACAATAAACATGAACCATATTCCCTTTAACTGGGTACAATAAAAGTGAACCATATCCCATTAACTGGGTACAGAAAACAGTGAATAATATCCCCATTAACTGGGTACAATAAACGTGAACCATATCCCCATTAACTGGGTACAATAAACATGAACCATATTCCCTTTAACTGGGTACAATAAAAGTGAACCATATCCCCATTAACTGGGTACAATAAACGTGAACCATATCCCCATTAACTGGGTACAAGAAAAATGAACCATATTCCTATTAACTGGGTACAATAAACGTGAACCATATCTCCATTAATTCGATAAACGTGAACCATATCCCTATTACCTGGGTACAATAAACGTGAACCATATCCCCATTAACTGGGTACAATAAACGTGAACCATATCTCCATTAATTCGATAAACGTGAACCATATCCCTATTAACTGGGTACAAGAAAAATGAACCATATTCCTATTAACTGGGTACAATAAACGTGAACCATATCCCCATTAATTCGATAAACGTGAACCATATCTCCATTAATTCGATAAACGTGAACCATATCCCTATTAACTGGGTACAAGAAAAATGAACCATATTCCTATTAACTGGGTACAATAAACGTGAACCATATCCCCATTAATTCGATAAACGTGAACCATATCCCCATTAACTGGGTACAAGAAAAATGAACCATATTCCTAATAACTGGGTACAATAAAAGTGAACCATATCTCCATTAATTCGATAAACGTGAACCATATCCCTATTAACTGGGTACAATAAAAGTGAACCATATCTCCATTAATTCGATAAACGTGAACCATATCCCTATTAACTGGGTACAATAAAAGTGAACTATATCTCCATCAATTCGATAAACGTGAACCATATCCCTATTAACTGGGTACAATAAAAATGAACCATATCCCCATTAACAGGGTACAATACAAGTGAACCATATCCCCATTAATTCGATACAATAAACGTGAACCATATCCCCATTAATTCGATACAATAAACGTGAACCATATCCCCATTAATTCGATACAATAAACGTGAACCATATCCCCATTAATTCGAAACAATAAACGTGAACCATATCCCCATTAATTCGATACAATAAACGTGAACCATATCCCCATTAATTCGATACAATAAACGTGAACCATATCCCCATTAACAGGGTAAAATATAAGTGAACCATATCCCCATTAATTCGATACAATAAACGTGAACCATATCCCCATTAACAGGGTACAATATAAGTGAATCATATAAGCGCACACACATACATCTGAACCAAATGAAGTAAACATATGTACATCAAATATATGTACATTGTAGATACAGTAAAATGAAGCAATTTCAATATGAACCAGAAAAATATATACACACATTAAGGAATAAAAAATATCCAATTTTACATCAACCAAACAAAAATTAATGATTGATAGAAACTTGTGAAAATTAGTCATATACACATTAACTTGTTATCGAATTTACCTATTAGGTTGTAACTTGATAAAGGTTCACTAGAATTAAACGATATGTAATGACCGCTTTAGATATTATTTGCAGAAAAACACATTTGAAACTTTAATTTATCATACTTTCTTGAGATAGATTCTTTATAGAATTCACTTAATTTACAATAGATAATAAATCTAACTGAGCGTAAGTAATTGTATCGGCGCTGGAAGTGTTCAGATAAAAACAGGAATACGCTGGCATGTAAAGAAAATCTCTCACTCAACATTTACTCTCTCCCTTATAAAAATAGCATTGGATTTGTCCTTTGTACTGAGAAGAGCTGTTGTGTACTGAATTAAATTTGCAGAATTTTAATTCAAAACGATGCACAACATTCACAGGAATCTGAATATATTTAATAGAATAGATATCATTTGTTTTCTGTGAGAAGCTACTCGACAGCTCAATTTAAGATTTGGTGCATCGACAATAGCGAAAATACACTTTCTTAATAGTATTGATAGACTGTGATAGAATGGCATCCGTTTTTAGTGAGTGAGTGAGTAAGTGTGAGTGAGTGAGTGAGTGAGTGAGTGAGTGAGTGAGTGAGTGAGTGAGTGAGTTACTCATTAATTTATGCTATCTTACTTTTAGACTTCTCATTGACATCCTCTTTTCTTTTCAATTTCTAACAAAATCTTACGTAAAATATACATACAATGCTCCATTTGGTCCCAGCTGTCCGGCAATACCTGCAGCAGTTGAACAAACACAAGGCATTCCGAATGTCCACAATAATAATTTCCAGTCATATTTCCCGAAAGAGATATGCTTCCGAAAAAATATCAAGACAAAGGCATTGATAGCAGCGATATTTACGAGCAGATTTTGCGCTGTTATAAATTCGGCCAACATGAACCCATAAAACTGGCAAAGTGCCAGCGGATACACATGGTTCCTGGTCAGCACTATATGTCCGTGGTCAAGGGTATGACAAATGTTGAACAACCCGTCACATAATGCCAAGTAGACGACAAATCGCTCACTTTTAGTCCAAGAGAAAAAAGTTTTAATGTTTTGAGATTTGAATGAAAATGTAAGAACTAATATTGCCGATATAAAACTCAAGGCAATACATGTCATAGCTGGTATATGTATCAGATAAAACTGACCGTTGTCCAGTCCATACACGTCCAGATCGTAACCACTTAACAGCGTTTTATTCTTCATGCTGTCGGAAATCTGAGATAATTACACAAAAGCTCAATAGTTTTAGTCCTTTAGTGAAGACCTTTTTCTTTGTGAATCAAGATACTTCAACATACATTGAACAGCTGCCATGTTGTGGGAAAACTTTATGTCTATACAATCTTTTTTACAATCACGCTGCTGCTGACAATGCCAACTCAACCAAGAGGACCTGGTACTTCAAGAGTACTGTAGAGTAGTGTTAGGCGAGCGAACTGGTACTCCAAGGGTACTGTAGAGTAGTGTTAGGCGAGCGAACTGGTACTTCAAGAGTACTGTAGAGTAGTGTTAGGCGAGCGAACTGGTACTCCAAGAGTACTGTAGAGTAGTGCTAGGCGAGCGAACTGGTACTCCAAGAGTACTGTAGAGTAGTGCTAGGCAGGCTGACCTGGTACTCCAATAGTACTGTAGAGTAGTGCTAGGCGAGCGAACTGGAACTTCAAGGGTACTGTAGAGTGGTTGTAGGCAAGCGAACTGGTACTCCAAGAGTACTTTAGATAAGTGCCATGGAAGCGGACCTGGTATTCCAAGAGTACTATAAAGTAGTGGTGGGCAAGTGAAATGGCATTCCAAGAGAACTGTAGAGTAATACTTTGCGTTCGATATTACAGCTCACTTCATTAACGCCAAATATGTTCACATGACGATAATTTATAGACGAAAAGTATTCTGCCCTATTAGGATTGTAGAAAGGCACACACAAGCAAACATCCTTCTAAAACTCTAGAACATAGTCATCGTCTTGACTATGTCTTGAATTATTTGATTTTATCTATATTTAAACAGTATGTCTAAGGGAACCTGGATGTAAAATTTAAATGCATGTGATATTCCAACTTTAAATACCTCGATAATGTGACATACTGTCTTCCTTAATTTGATGCCAACAAATTGATTCATGAACGCATCATGCTTACTTTGTTTTGTGTCGTTTCGACGAGCGATAAACACAATGAAATAAAAGTAGGTTCGAGAACAAATACACAAATATCACAGTGCATCTAAATGAAGAAGACATCGACCGGGTTAACTGGTCTGATTTGTGCGCGACACGCGCTTAGTAACATAAGGGAGTTTATTGTTTGACTCAGTTGTTATGTGATGTTTACTCTGTACGGGCAGACTAGTAAATAGACTTATCAACGTCGCAGATATTAATCTTCTTACGGGAATTTGCATCACTTTGATGTATACGGTTTTTACTTACCGAGGAAAATGTGTTCGTTAAAACATCAAAGGCAAATTGAAGTATCATACTACATAAGGTCCATCAGCATGCATATAATTATTCCCTTCCAATGCTTCCTTCTGAATTGTTATAGACAATTGTAAGATTTTAAAACGTGGGCCAGTTGTACGAGCAGACTGGAAGTCTAACGTTCATCTTATACAGTTACTTATCGAGAACATGCCATTGAAAATTTAACAAAAGGCACGACGAGAGTAAATAACACCTTTCAATACGAATTTAGAATTCCACTTCATGATACAGCTCGACAGTGGTGATAACGGCTTCAATTTAAAAACGTAGCAAACGACGAAGTAAAAGCCAATGTAATCGACAGTATTATCAAAGTCTGGGAGAGCAATAGCTTTTTGATTCAATACATGTCGTAATTTGTAAATATCTGATTCTTTCAAAAGTTTTTTTTAAATTTCATGATTAGGAAAATCAAAGCAATTTCGATCGATCTGTCAACTGTATTGCTTTACCTAATTATACAACATTTCCACCTGTCGTTTTACCAATTTATTCATTTCCACCTGTCGTTTTACCTAATTATACAACATTTCCACCTGTCGTTTTACCAATTTATACAACATTTCCACCTGTCGTTTTACCTAATTATACAACATTTCCACCTGTCGTTTTACCTAATTATACAACATTTCCACCTGTCGTTTTACCTAATTATACAACATTTTCACCTGTCGTTTTACCAATGTATACAACATTTCCACCTGTCGTTTTACCTAATTATACAACATTTCCACCTGTCGTTTTACCTAATTATACAACATTTCCACCTGTCGTTTTACCAATGTATACAACATTTCCACCTGTCGTTTTACCTAATTATACAACATTTCCACCTGTCGTTTTACCAATTTATACAACATTTCCACCTGTCGTTTTACCTAATTATACAACATTTCCACCTGTCGTTTTACCAATTTATACAACATTTCCACCTGTCGTTTTACCTAATTATACAACATTTCCACCTATCGTTTTACCAATTTATACAACATTTCCACCTGTCGTTTTACCTAATTATACAACATTTCCACCTGTCGTTTTACCAATTTATACAACATTTCCACCTGTCGTTTTACCTAATTATACAACATTTCCACCTGTCGTTTTACCAATTTATACAACATTTCCACCTGTCGTTTTACCTAATTATACAACATTTCCACCTGTCGTTTTACCAATTTATACAACATTTCCACCTGTCAACTGTATTGCTTTACCTAATTTCGTCCTCTGTATATTTCTCCTTTGATTTCCATGTATTTCTCACGAAAGTATGGTTTACAGCCATATATTTTGCACCTTCCTCTACTTTTCTTGGAAAAGAAAGCGCTGGTATCAAGAGAACGAGAAAAGCATCCTCTCAGTTGAGGCATATGGTGGTGAACAGATTGTAAAATAAGATATATTTAGAAGAGTCTGTTTGGTCAAAAGTTCTTTAGAGTCCTTTAAATTCCACGTTATTCCACTTATTATAAACAGTAAGACCCAGATTTTATAGTACTAAAAATGTTGGTGATTAGGTTTGGTTAATTAGCTTGACGAACCAGCAATAATCCATTGTTTATATGGATTCTGGTGAAGTTTAGTAAACCAAAATGTGTAGATGTGATTTCCTTATAAAGCAAGCCTAGTTCTTTTGGTATACAGGAAATGTAAAAATGTCTGAAGACAAGGAACAAGTTATTGGACGTTTATCAGCAGGCACAATAACATACCTATCATGTAAATATTCAAGTGTTGTTTTCATTTTAGATTTCAAGCAGCAATTTTTTTAAGAATGATGGATAGAAGGAATTAAGCCATTTTTAACTTCATATTCAAATTAACGGACGAGGTTTTACGATAAAAGAGCTGTTTGATGTAGTTTCATTCAATCTTTGGCTCTACTGCACTGTAAATTGCCTGGAAAGGCAATATTTACTTGTTTGTCTTTTGTAAATACTTACTGTTATATGCGCTATTTGACGCCATCGATATGTCTGTAAACATGGTTTATACTTTTATAAGAGCTTTGGAGAGACATGTGATATGAAGTATCATATATTGCAACTTATTTACATTATCATTTTAACACACAAGAGAGTAATTCCGGCGAAGGTCAAGAGCTCTGCACGTCACTAAATTAGTGGGCATCCGGTCATCATATACATCAAAAGTTTCTTGATTAATGAGGAAATAGATATATCTTACACAAGTGAGGGAAATTTACATCCAAATTCACAATAACTTGTTTTTAGTGCTTCATGCTTTTATTTCTGTTCTTTGGCTTGAACAAATATATAGATTTAAGTGGTATTTCATATGCTTTCCTTATTAGTGTATATATGATTCATCAGACAAAGACCGTGAACATTCTTTGAACAGTCAACTAAACACATTTTCTGTAATCTTTTTCTCTGAGTATCTATTTAAGCACTTGCTTTAAGCCCTATTAATAGCCAGAGTTATTAAAAGACGAGCCAGGTAAGTTGGTGGAGGAAAGCCGGAGCTCCCACAGAAAATCCACCATCCTGCGGCCAATACCTGCCCCATGTAGGTCTCGAACTCGCGATCCAGAGGCACTTTAAGCAAGTGTGCTAATTCACAAAATCATCTATACAAAAATACAAAAATAAAAAACAACAATACATGCAAGACCTAGATAAACAGACATAGATATGATGTAGTTGAAGGTGGAAAGAATTATTGGCCTTAATCAACTTTAATAAATCAAACAAAAGTACAATAATAGTACAGTATTGCTGTGTTTGACATTTGATTTTCACGCTGTCGGTGTACTAGAATATAATATCAGAAAATAAATAAAGAAGTGCTAGTATTTCACAAATCAAATTGATTTTCAGAATTTGTTAAGTTTTCTGTATTCATAACATGGCGGGTGCCGTCGATGAAGCAGAATACCCTTACTCTTACGGAACGTCTGGTCTTATTCTCCTTGTAATTTTTAGGAGTCTCCGTGTAAATCTCTCATTTGATCAAGTTTTGACCCAGCTTTATAGAATTCGAGTTCGGATTATGATTATGTTGATAGGTTGGTATTTTTTTTTTAAAAGTTTATTAATTAAAAATAAGAAAAATATGTACATCAATACAGATATGATGAAACCTAACCAGACATTCTGCATTTTGTGTATACTCGGACAAACATAAAAAAGAGTTTGTAGAAAATCAACAGCTTAATAGTACATGTTGACTATAAATCTGTTATCGGCGTTTGCATATGAATCACCATTCTGATGGATATGTGTCTCGTGCACGATGTGAACTACAGTATAAAGGTTATCGAGTGCTTTCAAGTGACCACTGTCGTGGCGCGGCTACATCCGGTTGAGTTCGTTGACTTGTTACAGCTTTCAGACATAGTTAATAACAAAAAGGAAACATAACTGATCCAGCAAAAATTATTAAACTTATCAAATTTGATTTTAATTCGAAATATGGAAAATTGTACGGTTTAACAAAAAGTATGCACAATAAAATATCATTGTATGAAGATGCATTACATCAAGAGCGTGGTATTACGAAATACAGTATTACAACAGACCGGTCATCAGTACAAGTGTTCTTTAGTCCCACAGGATTCATAAGAGGCGATTCTTACAACGTTTTTATAAAACTCCTTACGGATAAGATTTCATGTCTTTATATTGCTTTTATCAGGTTTCAATTGCCTGAGTCCACAGATCAGGGGTAACTCCTCAGCTTTTCCTCAAGATGATTCTAATTTCTTTTGCAAATACAGAGTTCTCCGAGCTGGTGAATCTCAATTTTTCCTCTTATTCGCGTGTGTTCTCCTCGCTATTTTATACTTGTATATTGTACCCTTCCTATTTGCATTGACAAGCGAAGCGGTGAATCTCCATGTATATACACTGTTAAGCAATGGTGACAAATATGTATGGTCAGCAATCCTGACTAGTTACTAGATTTAAAAGATTTTTAAAGGATGCAATACAATGAAAGCAACACTTATATAAGCATTCTTAATCATAGTATGGCGTACCTCACATGTCTTAATTTCATAGCAATGGAAGGTTTTGTAATGTGATTATAACACAGTATCATGCAGCGATTACAGATTACAAGGAATACTTTTTTCACATATAGTCGTATGATTATCTCGATTATCTTTCATGATTGAGTTTTGACAATGATGATATTTCCTCCTTTGGTGTCTCAGGAAGAGACTGTGAGCGCGGCGGCAGTTTCCTGCCCTCAAATGTCAAACATGTCCGTTTCCGTCTTTGCCTTATCTATTCTTTTTTCAAGCTTAATTTCCCGTCAACAGCCTCCCCTATAATGTTAACAAATATATCTACAGAAGGCACTGTAATGTACGTGCCTAAACCTTGGAGTCTAAGTCAACGGTATCCAATGTTTTGTCGATACTTGGGCCATTCCCAGAGTCCAGTTTAGATTTAGAGCTTTCCTTGGTTTTTTCTTTATCGTAATATCCACTCATCTTACGTCGTCTGATGATAACGTAAACGATTCCGTTCAGGATCCCTCCAACGTTTGAAAAAGTTGTGACGAATTGAAATAGGGCCTGAGGGACGTCTGCCGATAGCTGCCATACACCGTACAAAGCCATTGCCCACCACTGTGCGAAGAATGCAGTAACAAACAAAGACATTGTCCGAGCGACTTTGTGAGAGGCTCTGACTGTTGTCGCTTCTTTTCCGATCACGTTCCTCAAACGTTTGCCCTCTGTATGTATCCTGTACCATGTAAGCGCGTACAGGATGATGTTTATCACCAAAACCAATAAAAGCGGGACCGTTGTGAAAAAAACATTTGCAATCTCTCCTTTCACACCGTCGAAGTAGCAACTGAAAGAAATGGTTAGATTGTTAATATGTTTTGCTATATATTAAATCATTAAAGTTTCTTACAATCCTGATTCGCAAGTTCCTCAAAATAGATTTTTTTCAGACTGTTTAAGAGTAATACAGATACCTATTCTATACTCACAATGCCCCATTCGTTCCCAGTTGACCGGCTATTCCCGCAATCGTGGCCCCGAGAAAAGGTGCTCCGAACGTCCAGAGTAGAAGTTTCCAGTCGTATCGCCCAAATCCTATGTTTTTTCTGTAGTAGATCAACACGAAGGCATTGATGGCTACCACATTTACCATTAGGTTTTGTGCTGTGATGAACTCCGCCAACATGAAGCCATAAAACTCGCAGAGTTCAACTGGGTGTACATGATCTCTGGTTATAAGGATGTGAAGGTGGTCCATGGAGTGTGCTATGTTGAAGAGTCCATCACACACCGCAAGGTACACAACAAACCGCTCGCTCTTTGTCCAGGAGAAAAAGGACCTGAAACTCTGAAGGCGATATGAGTCCACCATAATCAAAACTGCACAGATAAAACTAAGGCCTATACATGTCAGAGCTGGAATATGAATATAGAGAAACTGACCGTTGTCCAGTCCGTACACCTGGAGGTCATAGCCGGACATCGGTGGTTTAGGAGCCACTGTGACATTTGCGCTGGTCATTGTCATTTCCGGCTGTACCGAACAATACAATTATAGAAGATGTCTTCTTTAATTCGTTATGTAATCCGGCTTTTATGATTATTACAGGCGTCTGATTATTACGGTCATTATAAAGAGGCACATAACAGAAGTCTTTTACGGATACTAGTGTCCAGTTATCACTCCGTTCTATCTCTATCTTCCGTGTTAAATGTGGTCGACAGCTTACTGACTTGTTTGTCTCTGTACGACACACGCTCTTCCTTCCGAGGTTTGATGACATAAGGAAGTATACAATCAAAGTGATTTATACGTCAACGACTCTCCCTGATCGTCAGAACACTTCAGTACACAAACTCAAGCTGGGGATGGGGTAACATTTTGCTTTATTTATAAAAAAAATTAGATTCAATTTCATTCACGTTACAGTTAATATCATTTTGATATCTTTTTTCGCAATGTACATCTTTCAAATATAACTCTTGAGAAAATTCTTACACAAAGTCTCAACGTGTCTCTCATTAACAATTAAAAAGTTGAATGATATTATACGAATACATCGATTTAACTTTAAACTTTTACTTACTTCGGGGACATTACCTAAGAACTTGTCGTTAAAACGATTGCGACATGTGCGTTATTTAAGTATTGTCATTATGCTGTTAGATAACATAGTGTATTTGGTAATGTCTAACTGTAGTGTACGTTTGTACACAAATCATTGGGCGGTTAACCAGATGCAATAGTAATCATTATACGGTGTCACTGTATTTCCCTATACCGATAAAAGTGACAAAGGAATCGAGTTGAGATACAGGAAGTTTAATACATAGCTTGGATTAGTTGTCAAGATAGTGAAATATATGACAAGTAATATCTTTCAAAAGTCAACAAAAAGATCTCCGATAACTCAGTAGATTGTTCTAATCGATAAAGCGATGGCAAGAACAAAGATTTAAACGGTGTCCCTTACAAAGGTACAAGGAGAATAAGACCAGGTGTTCCAGAAAGATAAACGTCTTCTGCTTCATTCATGACATATGGTATGTGAATCTTCGTCAATCCAAGAAAGTAGTGTCACGTTTCTAAATGTTAACAACAGAATCACAAAGTTCTGATACATAACTTGGTGATCTAAATATGATACAGAAATAACAAAAACAAAAACAGTAAATATGTACCATCCAGCTTGATCGTCTATACTTTTAATTTGCTAAAATATGCGTTATAAGATAGAAAAAATCATTATTCACTGAAATAATTTGGTATGATATTATAACATCATTTGATAGCCTGATTATGTTACTGAATTAGCCATTACAACAATGAAATATTTAATAATCATCTTTTGACATTTGAGCATTGTGTACACATATAGTCAGTGTCTCGGATGTCATCCCCATTCAGATGTTATAACGCTGTGTCTATGTATACATACACAGACTTTTATCAGTTATTTACATCAATATAAAAGGACAATGCTACTCTGGTCCCTTGTCGAAGAGGCCAGGCATTGCTACATGTAACACTGGAATCTAAATTACAGTAGTGGACAAACACGTCTGAATTAAGACAGATAATATCAGACAACAGATTCAGCAACATATTAGTTGTCCAATACGTTTAAAGTATATACACCTACGTCATAGGGGATTATATTTATACGGGTTTACATCATCTTCAAGATTGTAGGTCATGCAAATAGTGGCATGGTTCAAAATGTATACATGTGTTTGACATTCCAAACTTTATCAGATATAGGAAATGAGATTTATTGAATTATGGGTCCAGAACACCTTCTAATCTAGATATGGGCATTTCTTTCGATCACTTTGGATTTTCCTTAGTCGCCTTCAAAACTTGAAATGTTAAGCCCACAGTATCTCTGACAAGTCCTAGAAGGACGAAACAGTGTTATGTTGACATCTTGATATTTTCTTGATGCAGTTTAATTCATTGTTTGGCTCTGCTGCATCTAATTCTAAATTTGTATTAAGAGGCGATATTCACTTGTGTGTCTTCAGTGCTACGATTATGATCTGACAACAGCCACTCCTATAACCAAGTCTTTTACACAGCTGTAACAACATGTAACATAGATGTAGAACATTTCTCTAGTATTGGAAACCTTGATATTATATAAAACCTCGAAATCACATCTTCACTTGCCAAAAGCACGCAGCAAATCCCCACAAATCTGCCACGAGCATTTTAGTGGCATGTCATTCAAATATACATACATTGTAAGGGGGACACGAAAGATTTCACCGAAGCCAAATATTTATACGATCGGAGGGGAAAACATGAACTTTTTTAACACCCTTTCAAACGGTAGGTCATTCAAATTAGTGTATTATCAGGTCATATTCGTAACGTTTCAGAGTAAATGTTCCGAAAGCAACAAAAACTTACGGATGGGTTTGATGCGAAACGAAATCGCACTGCCGCTTTGTTACGTCAACCCGGTGATTTCAGCAGATGTGTTCTGTAGAATGTGCAACCAGCCTTGTTTTTTTTAAATTGATAATACGTCTGTTTACCGTTAATCATATAGAATAAACCACCATTTCAACCATGACTTTCATTTTGAGATGTGCTCCGCGATTTTTACAAGTATAGATATGATAATAATAATAATATCTTTTATTTAACCAGGGTTACATATTTAGACAATGTCTGGTTTACAATATGACCCTGCAACAATAGATATATACAAGCATGATAACAATTAAAGATGATAGTATAACAATGCAATATAGTACTTGTATCACAGTCATGTTACTTACAATATTGTGATTATTATAAAAATTTTAATGTAATTTATTTTTGAACACTTGCGTGATCACACAAATGTTACTGAATGTGAAGATTAAAGCACTATCATAGTCATATATACATTCAATGCAAATAGCAAAAGGTGAAAATTGACAGAATATACTCTAATATAGTGTGTATTAAAAAGAAACATTGAAGTTGGTGGGGTAAAATAACTTATCATAGAAAATGATTAAATTACATTTGACTTAACTTATCATGAACAAAATTTGGAAAACTAAGATTAATTTTATTCAAACATCAATATAAAAGAGATAATCACAGATATTCTACTCATATATACTAAAAGATTTTTTTATTTATTTATTTTAAAACTGCTAGTACATAAATAAAGATGGTGGAATAAATCTAAGACTTTGTGAAGTAATATTACAGGTATCTGCTTTTAAACACTCCAATACTTCTTGAATATCTTATCTTACTGCATTACTTACTTCATTCCATAAAACAGAACATGTATATACAAAGGACCTTTTGAAATAATTTGTTCTGGCAGTTGGAACATACAGTTTATTTAATTCAGAAGCTGTAGTTGATCTGCTGTTAACATTTGCTAAAGACCCTGGGGACTCGCAATGAAGAATTTTGTAAGAAAGAATCATTTTCCTTATAACGTAAAAATCTGCTGAAGGCATCCATTTTAATTTTTCAAAAAGGGTGTTGGATGGAGTAAGAATATCTTTAACATTTAACCAAATCCTGGCTGCTCTTTTCTGTAATTTAAAAATCTTATCAATATAAAGTTTGTTGCTAGGTTCACTCCAGACAGTTGAACAGTATGTAAAATGTGTGAAAAATGCCATTTGACATAAATGACCTTAACCTCAAAAAGCACACCAAGTTTTTGGAATTTTTTTTAGCGATAATATCGATGTTCGACACATGACTTCGCATTACTACGAATGCCCGCTATCATAAATACTACAGTTGCTTTTCGAAAAAAGCAGTAGTATTTCTCCGTTACGCTGTTTGGTCTGATGAGTTGGAGGCTCAAATATTGACACGAAATCTCAAACTACCATGAACTTCCATGAGGAAGTCACTATGATATTCTGGTATAAAATTCTCACGAGTTTTACTGGTAGGTGTGAACATACCGACCGAAGTTAAGCAGTATGAGAGGATTTGACATTGCTGATACTTCTTTTTGAAAAATACATTTGCCATGACAAAGCTTAAGTTAACTAAAGGCGTCCAATGATCGTTAACCATTAATTATCAGGAAAACACTAGACATCGGAGCTGCGTTCGTTGGGGGCAAATGTTTTTTTGTTACCAGAGTCACAATCAGGTGAAGTGTTTTCTCTGTTCCTTTCTTTATCGTAATATCCACTCATCTTACGTCGTCTGATGATAACGTAAACGATTCCGTTCAGGATCCCTCCAACGTTTGAAAAAGTTGTGACGAATTGAAATAGGGCCTGAGGGACGTCTGCCGATAGCTGCCATACACCGTACAAAGCCATTGCCCACCACTGTGCGAAGAATGCAGTGACAAACAAAGACATTGTCCGAGCAACTCTGTGAGAAGCTCTGACCGTTCTCGCTGCATTTCCAATCACGTTCCTCAAACGTTTGCCCTCTGTATGTATCCTGTACCATGTAAGTGCGTACAGGATGATGTTTATTACCAAAATCAATAAAAGCGGGACCGTTGTGAAAAAAACATTTGCAATCTCTCCTTTCACACCGTCGAAGTAGCAACTGAAAGAAATGGTATCAAAAAGTGTTTTACGGAAGTTATAAACGGTGGTGCTGTATATTCAATTAAGTGTTGTAAATAGATTATTTGAAATTACAGATAAACACCTAACCTATACTCACAATGCCCCATTCGTTCCCAGTTGACCGGCTATTCCCGCAATCGTGGCCCCGAGAAAAGGTGCTCCGAACGTCCAGAGTAGAAGTTTCCAGTCGTATCGCCCAAATCCTATGTTTTTTCTGTAGTAGATCAACACGAAGGCATTGATGGCTACCACATTTACCATTAGGTTTTGTGCTGTGATGAACTCCGCCAACATGAAGCCATAAAACTCGCAGAGTTCAACTGGGTGTACATGATCTCTGGTTATAAGGATGTGAAGGTGGTCCATGGAGTGTGCTATGTTGAAGAGTCCATCACACACCGCAAGGTACACAACAAACCGCTCGCTCTTTGTCCAGGAGAAAAAGGATCTGAAACTCTGAAGGCGATATGAGTCCACCATAATCAAAACTGCACAGATAAAACTAAGGCCTATACATGTCAGAGCTGGAATATGAATATCAAGGAACTGATCGTTGTCCAGTCCGTACACCTGGAGATCATACCCTGACATGAGAACTTTCTTGGTCGTACTGACCATGGTGACATTAATTCCAACCATTGTTGTCGCTGGTACTATTTTGTCATTAAATAACAAATTTCCTAACTTCCTGTTGTTTTCATGCAAGGAAATAATCATAGCTCATATATATATCCTATTCCTTACACATTCTAAACATATTCCACATATCTAGAAGATTAATTGGCATATCTCTACGCTTATACCGTGGTATTTAATTGTCCACCCGGAACAAGTTGTAGAATCGTTAGCCTTGGAGTCCGTCATAGATATGATGAAGTATTACAAAGTATCTATATAAAACATAAGTAAAACAGGTCAGCAGAAGTATACACCTTTACCGTAATACAATCGGTGACCCCGGTATTATATAACTTATGTTAAATGCATGTGACACCTTTATATCTTGTGAAATACAATTTAAAGCCTGGTATTGTTTTTTATTTCCTTTAAATACCTGTAAGTGATGTAAACAATCTTATGTCTGAAATACTTCCCTGTTCGTGACATGTGTACTTATCACATGCAAATACTGTAAACATGGATATGTTTCAAAGAAAATTAATCAAAAAACAATTGCCTGTTTCGCTGTGAAACGCGGACTGAATTCGAAACTAAAAATGTACAAAATTTCTGTTTAATGACGGCGACAATAAAAACGTCATCGCCACATGAAAACAACGACGGTAACAATAAATACGTCATCGCCACATGAATACAATGACGGTAACAATAAATACGTCATCGCCACATAAATACAACGACGGTAACAATGAATACGTCATCGCCACATGAATACAATGACGGTAACAATAAATACGTCATCGCCACATGAATACAATGACGGTAACAATAAATACGTCATCGCCACATGAATACAATGACGGTTACAATAAATACGTCATCGCCACATGAATACAATGACGGTAACAATAAATACGTCATCGCCACATGAATACAATGACGGTAACAATAAATACGTCATCGCCACATGAATACAACGACAGCAATAATAAATACGTCATCGCCACATGATATTAAACGATGGTAACAATAAATACGTCATCGCCACATGAATACAACGACAGCAATAATAAATACGTCATCGCCACATGAATACAACGACGGTAACAATAAATACGTCATCGCCACATGAATACAACGATGGTAACAATAAATACGTCATCGCCACATGAATACAACGACAGCAATAATAAATACGTCATCGCCACATGATATACAACGACGGTAACAATAAATACGTCATCGCCACATGAATACAATTACGGCGACAATAAATACGTCATCGCCACATGAATACAATGACGGTAACAATAAATACGTCATCGCCACATGAATACAATGACGGTAACAATAAATACGTCATCGCCACATGAATACAATGAGGGTAACAATAAATACGTCATCGCCACATGAATACAATGACGGTAACAATAAATACGTCATCGCCACATGAATACAATGACGGTAACAATAAATACGTCATCGCCATATGAATAAAACGACGGCGACAATAAATACGTCATCGCCACATGAATACAATGACGGTAACAATAAATACGTCATCGCCACATGAATACAATTACGGCGACAATAAATACGTCATCGCCACATGAATACAATGACGGTAACAATAAATACGTCATCGCCACATGACTACAATGAGGGTAACAATAAATACGTCATCGCCATATGAATACAACGACGGCGACAATAAATACGTCATCGCCACATGAATACAACGACGGCGACAATAAATACGTCATCGCCACAAGAATACAATGACGGTAACAATAAATACGTCATCGCCACATGAATACAACGACGGCGACAATAAATACGTCATCGCCACATGATATACAATGACGGCGATAATAAATACGTCATCGCCACATGAATACAACGACGGCGACAATAAATACGTCATCGCCACATGAATACAACGACGGCGACAATAAATACGTCATCGCCACATGATATATAATGACGGCGACAATAAATACGTCATCGCCACAAGAATACAACGACGGCGACCATAAATACGTCATCGCCACATGATATACAATGACGGCAACAATAAATACGTCATCGCCACATGAATACAATGACGGCGACAATAAATACGTCATCGCCACATGAATACAATGACGGTTACAATAAATACGTCATCGCCACATGAATACAATGACGGTAACAATAAATACGTCATCGCCACATGAATACAATGAGGGTAACAATAAATACGTCATCGCCATATGAATAAAACGACGGCGACAATAAATACGTCATTGCCACATGAATACAACGACGGCGACAATAAATACGTCATCGCCACAAGAATACAATGACGGTAACAATAAATACGTCATCGCCACATGAATACAACGACGGCGACAATAAATACTTCATCGCCACATGATATACAATGACGGCGATAATAAATACGTCATCGCCACATGAATACAACGACGGCGATAATAAATACGTCATCGCCACATGAATACAACGACGGCGACAATAAATACGTCATCGCCACATGATATATAATGACGGCGACAATAAATACGTCATCGCCACAAGAATACAACGACGGCGACCATAAATACGTCATCGCCACATGATATACAATGACGGCAACAATAAATACGTCATCGCCACATGAATACAATGACGGCGACAATAAATACGTCATCGCCACATGAATACAATGACGGTTACAATAAATACGTCATCGCCACATGAATACAATGACGGTAACAATAAATACGTCATCGCCACATGAATACAACGACGGTAACAATAAATACGTCATCGCCACATGAATACAATGACGGCGACAATAAATACGTCATCGCCACATAAATACAACGACGGCGACAATAAATACGTCAACGCCACAAGAATACAACGACGGTAACAATAAATACGTCATCGCCACATGATATACAATGACGGCGACAATAAATACGTCATCGCCACATGAATACAACGACGGCGACAATAAATACGTCATCGCCACATGATATATAATGACGGCGACAATAAATACGTCATCGCCACATGAATACAACGACGGCGACCATAAATACGTCATCGCCACATGATATACAATGACGGTAACAATAAATAAGTCATCGCCACAAGAATACAACGACGGTGACAATAAATACGTCATCGCCACATGATATACAACGACGGTAACAATAAATACGTCATCGCCACATGATATACAATGACGGCGACAATAAATACGTCATCGCCACATGAATACAACGACGGTAACAATAAATACGTCATCGCCACATGAATACAACGACGGTAACAATTAAGAATAACATTTATTATTATGGAATGGTTTTTCCTTTCAATATCAATATTTTTTTCACGAAGATTTTTTATATTTTATATCGGCATATTCTAACATACGAGTGAATAATGAATGGTATTGAACGGGAAACCACATGAATTTTATTTTATTCCATTTTCATCGACACTTCAATAGAAAGACGTCAGCAAATTAAATCATAAAAGACACTAGAATTTAGTCTTAACAGCATAGCAAAACCGAATGACCCAGTGTCCACTCAGGGAACAGATGAGTGGCAACACATGTAAAGGGTTTCTTCATGTTAATGAAAGAATGTGCTGAACGGTATGAACCTAATTAATATAACAGAAAATACTCCCACGAAAATTATTCAATAATTGTTCAACGTTTTGGAATGAAGTAGCAGAAGGAGTAAAGAGCGTCAACGTAAGGAAACTTCACAAAGTATAAAAAATTTCATGCTCAGTTGAGCAGAAAGTGGAAAGAACACAGTCCATGAAATTCGGGTGATGCCCGACGGCGCATAAGATGACAGTGGAACCTTTTTTAACGCCCGACATTTCTTCGACGGTATAACTGGTGCACAATACCGGTGTCATATCATATTTGTATCCCCTACTATAAAAGTACCAGGATATTTTTCCCCATCATAAAAATATCCGGGGATACTTTTTCCCTCGTCAGAAACGGATCTCCTCTGTAGTATTTGTATCCCCCTTCAGATCAATATTAGAACTGTATCTCTTTTATAAAACTGCTGTTTATGCTCAGGTTGTTGGTCAGTTAGTTGGCCACAGATGCCATGGGTACCTGTACAGGTGTCCAATTACACTAGATACTATTCTGATAGCTATCAGAAATGTCTCCCCCTCCCCAATATATCTGATAATTGTCCCCTAGATACTATTCTGATAGCTATCAGAAATGTCCCCCCTCCCCAATATATCTGATAATTGTCCCCTAGATACTATTCTGATAGCCATCAGATATGTATCCCCCTCCCCAATATATCTGATAATTGTCCCCTAGATACTATTCTGATAGCCATCAGAAATGTCTCCCCCTCCCCAATATATCTGATAATTGTCCCCTAGATACTATTCTGATAGCTATCAGAAATGTCTCCCCCTCCCCAATATATCTGATAATTGTCCCCTAGGTACTATTCTGATAGCTATCAGAAATGTCTCCCCCTCCCCAATATATCTGATAATTGTCCCCTAGATACTATTCTGATAGCTATCAGAAATGTCTCCCCCTCCCCAATATATCTGATAATTGTCCCCTAGATACTATTCTGATAGCCATCAGATATGTATCCCCCTCCCCAATATATCTGATAATTGTCCCCTAGATACTATTCTGATAGCCATCAGAAATGTCTCCCCCTCCCCAATATATCTGATAATTGTCCCCTAGATACTATTCTGATAGCTATCAGAAATGTCTCCCCCTCCCCAATATATCTGATAATTGTCCCCTAGGTACTATTCTGATAGCTATCAGAAATGTCTCCCCCTCCCCAATATATCTGATAATTGTCCCCTAGATACTATTCTGATAGCTATCAGAAATGTCTCCCCCTCCCCAATATATCTGATAATTGTCCCCTAGATACTATTCTGATAGCCATCAGAAATGTCTCCCCCTCCCCAATATATCTGATAATTGTCCCCTAGGTACTATTCTGATAGCCATCAGAAATGTCTCCCCCTCCCCAATATATCTGATAATTGTCCCCTAGATACTATTCTGATAGCCATCAGAAATGTCTCCCCCTCCCCAATATATCTGATAATTGTCCCCTAGATACTATTCTGATAGCCATCAGATATGTATCCCCCTCCCCAATATATCTGATAATTGTCCCCTAGGTACTATTCTGATAGCTATCAGAAATGTCTCCCCCTCCCCAATATATCTGATAATTGTCCCCTAGATACTATTCTGATAGCCATCAGAAATGTCTCCCCCTCCCCAATATATCTGATAATTGTCCCCTAGATACTATTCTGATAGCCATCAGTTATGTATCCCCCTCCCCAATATATCTGATAATTGTCCCCTAGGTACTATTCTGATAGCCATCAGAAATGTCTCCCCCTCCCCAATATATCTGATAATTGTCCCCTAGATACTATTCTGCTATACTATACTTTATACCTTCTTTCATCATTACTATTAAGTGATATATGCATAATCCTATATGTGATTAACTTTCTCTTAGTCTCACAGAATAGTATGTTTTATGGATATAGATATCAATCCTATGAAGTGCTGCCGAACAGCAACATTCAGTGATACTCTAAATCTGCCTTCTAAGTTTCCAAACTCCCATCACCTGTCCCTGCAAGCATATCTATTAGGAGTATATTCTTGTAACCTCTAAATTAAATCTCTCATTCCTGTACAGGTAAGTATTAAGTACAAGTAAACAATCTATCGTATCATCTGTACAATTATACTAGTGTAATCACATCCTCTGTACAACTGTGTGATACTAGCGTAATCACAACTGTGTGATACTAGTGTAATTACAACCTCTACAATTGTGTGATACTAGCGTAATCACAACCTCTGTACAACTGTGTGATACTAGTGTAATCACATCCTCTGTACAACTGTGTGATACTAGTGTAATCACAACCTCTGTACAACTGTGTGATACTAGCGTAATCACAACCTCTGTACAACTGTGTGATACTAGCGTAATCACAACCTCTGTACAACTGTGTGATACTAGTGTAATCACAACCTCTGTACAACTGTGTGATACTAGTGTAATCACAACCTCTGTACAACTGTGTGATACTTCTGTAATCACATCCTCTGTACAACTGTGTGATACTAGTGTAATCACAACCTCTGTACAACTGTGTGATACTAGCGTAATCACAACCTCTGTACAACTGTATGATACTAGCGTAATCACAACATCTGTACAACTGTGTGATACTAGTGTAATCGCAACCTCTGTACAACTGTGTGATACTTCTGTAATCACATCCTCTGTACAACTGTGTGATACTAGTGTAATCACAACCTCTGTACAACTGTGTGATACTTCTGTAATCACATCCTCTGTACAACTGTGTGATACTAGTGTAATCACATCCTCTGTACAACTGTGTGATACTTCTGTAATCACATCCTCTGTACAACTGTGTGATACTAGTGTAATCACAACCTCTGTACAACTGTGTGATACTTCTGTAATCACATCCTCTGTACAACTGTGTGATACTAGTGTAATCACAACCTCTGTACAACTGTGTGATACTAGCGTAATCACAACATCTGTACAACTGTGTGATACTAGTGTAATCGCAACCTCTGTACAACTGTGTGATACTAGCGTAATCACAACCTCTGTACAACTGTGTGATACTAGTGTAATCACATCCTCTGTACAACTGTGTGATACTTCTGTAATCACAACCTCTGTACAACTGTGTGATACTTCTGTAATCACAACCTCTGTACAACTGTGTGATACTAGTGTAATCACAACCTCTGTACAACTGTGTGATGCTAGTGTAATCACAACCTCTGTACAACTGTGTGATACTAGCGTAATCACAACCTCTGTACAACTATGTGATACTAGTGTAATCACAACCTCTGTACAACTGTGTGATACTAGTGTAATCACAACCTCTGTACAACTGTGTGATACTTCTGTAATCACAACCTCTGTACAACTGTGTGATACTAGTGTAATCACAACCTCTGTACAACTGTGTGATACTTCTGTAATCACAACCTCTGTACAACTGTGTGATACTAGCGTAATCACAACTGTGTGATACTAGTGTAATTACAACCTCTACAATTGTGTGATACTAGCGTAATCACAACCTCTGTACAACTGTGTGATACTAGTGTAATCACATCCTCTGTACAACTGTGTGATACTAGTGTAATCACAACCTCTGTACAACTATGTGATACTAGTGTAATCACATCCTCTGTACAACTTTGTGATACTAGTGTAATCACATCCTCTGTACAACTGTGTGATACTAGTGTAATCACAACCTCTGTACAACTGTGTGATACTAGTGTAATCACAACCTCTGTACAACTGTGTGATGCTAGTGTAATCACAACCTCTGTACAACTGTGTGATACTAGTGTAATCACATCCTCTGTACAACTATGTGATACTAGCGTAATCACAACCTCTGTACAACTGTGTGATACTAGTGTAATCACAACCTCTGTACAACTGTGTGATACTAGTGTAATCACAACCTCTGTACAACTGTGTGATACTAGTGTAATCACAACCTCTGTACAACTATGTGATACTAGCGTAATCACAACCTCTGTACAACTGTGTGATACTAGCGTAATCACAACTGTGTGATACTAGTGTAATTACAACCTTTACAATTGTGTGATACTAGCGTAATCACAACCTCTGTACAACTGTGTGATACTAGTGTAATCACATCCTCTGTACAACTGTGTGATACTAGTGTAATTACAACCTCTACAATTGTGTGATACTAGCGTAATCACAACCTCTATACAACTGTGTGATACTAGTGTAATCACATCCTCTGTACAACTGTGTGATACTAGTGTAATTACAACCTCTACAATTGTGTGATACTAGCGTAATCACAACCTCTATACAACTGTGTGATACTAGTGTAATCACATCCTCTGTACAACTGTGCGATACTAGTGTAATCACATCCTCTGTACAACTGTGTGATACTAGTGTAATCACAACCTCTGTACAACTGTGTGATACTAGTGTGATCACAACCTCTGTACAACTGTGTGATACTAGCGTAATCACAACCTCTGTACAACTGTGTGATACTAGTGTAATCGCAACCTCTGTACAACTATGTGATACTAGTGTAATCACAACCTCTGTACAACTGTATGATACTAGTGTAATCACAACCTCTGTACAACTGTGTGATACTTCTGTAATCACAACCTCTGTACAACTGTGTGATACTAGTGTAATCACAACCTCTGTACAACTGTGTGATACTTGTGATCACAACCTCTGTACAATTTTCTGATACTTTTTTGAGAAGAACCTTGGTACAACTGTGTGATACTAGTGTAATCACAACCTCTGTACAACTATGTGATACTAGTGTAATCACAACCTCTGTACAACTGTGTGATACTAGTGTAATCACAACCTCTGTACAACTGTGTGATACTAGTGTAATCACAACCTCTGTACAACTGTGTGATACTTCTGTAATCACAACCTCTGTACAACTGTGTGATACTTATGATCACAACCTCTGTACAACTGTGTGATACTAGTGTAATCACATCCTCTGTACAACTGTGTGATACTAGTGTAATCACAACCTCTGTACAACTGTGTGATACTAGTGTAATCACAACCTCTGTACAACTATGTGATACTAGTGTAATCACATCCTCTGTACAACTGTGTGATACTAGTGTAATCACATCCTCTGTACAACTGTGTGATACTAGCGTAATCACAACCTCTGTACAACTGTGTGATACTAGTGTAATCACAACCTCTGTACAACTGTGTGATACTAGTGTAATCACATCCTCTGTACAACTGTGTGATACTTCTGTAATCACAACCTCTGTACAACTGTGTGATACTAGTGTAATCACAACCTCTGTACAACTGTGTGATACTTGTGATCACAACCTCTGTACAATTTTCTGATACTTTTTTGAGAAGAACCTTGGTACAACTGTGTGATACTAGTGTAATCACAACCTCTGTACAACTATGTGATACTAGTGTAATCACAACCTCTGTACAACTGTGTGATACTTATGATCACAACCTCTGTACAACTGTGTGATACTAGTGTAATCACATCCTCTGTACAACTGTGTGATACTAGTGTAATCACAACCTCTGTACAACTGTGTGATACTAGTGTAATCACAACCTCTGTACAACTATGTGATACTAGTGTAATCACATCCTCTGTACAACTGTGTGATACTAGTGTAATCACATCCTCTGTACAAGTGTGTGATACTAGCGTAATCACAACCTCTGTACAACTGTGTGATACTAGTGTAATCACAACCTCTGTACAACTGTGTGATACTAGTGTAATCACATCCTCTGTACAACTGTGTGATACTAGTGTAATCACAACCTCTGTACAACTGTGTGATACTTCTGTAATCACAACCTCTATACAACTGTGTGATACTAGTGTAATCACAACCTCTGTATAACTATGTGATACTAGTGTAATCACAACCTCTGTACAACTGTGTGATACTTTTGATCACAACCTCTGTACAACTGTGTGATACTAGTGTAATCACATCCTCTGTACAACTGTGTGATACTAGTGTAATCACAACCTCTGTACAACTGTGTGATACTTTTGATCACAACCTCTGTACAACTGTGTGATACTAGTGTAATCACATCCTCTGTACAACTGTGTGATATTAGTGTAATCACAACCTCTGTACAACTATGTGATACTAGTGTAATCACATCCTCTGTACAACTGTGTGATACTAGTGTAATCACATCCTCTGTACAACTGTGTGATACTAGCGTAATCACAACCTCTGTACAACTGTGTGATACTAGTGTAATCACAACCTCTGTACAACTGTGTGATACTAGTGTAATCACATCCTCTGTACAACTGTGTGATACTAGTGTAATCACAACCTCTGTACAACTGTGTGATACTTCTGTAATCACAACCTCTATACAACTGTGTGATACTAGTGTAATCACAACCTCTGTATAACTATGTGATACTAGTGTAATCACAACCTCTGTACAACTGTGTGATACTTTTGATCACAACCTCTGTACAACTGTGTGATACTAGTGTAATCACATCCTCTGTACAACTGTGTGATACTAGTGTAATCACAACCTCTGTACAACTGTGTGATACTTTTGATCACAACCTCTGTACAACTGTGTGATACTAGTGTAATCACATCCTCTGTACAACTGTGTGATACTAGTGTAATCACAACCTCTGTACAACTATGTGATACTAGTGTAATCACATCCTCTGTACAACTGTGTGATACTAGTGTAATCACATCCTCTGTACAACTGTGTGATACTAGTGTAATCACAACCTCTGTACAACTGTGTGATACTTTTGATCACAACCTCTGTACAACTGTGTGATACTAGTGTGCAATCACATCCTCTGTACAACTGTGTGATACTAGTGTAATCACAACCTCTGTACAACTATGTGATACTAGTGTAATCACATCCTCTGTACAACTGTGTGATACTAGTGTAATCACATCCTCTGTACAACTGTGTGATACTAGCGTAATCACAACCTCTGTACAACTGTGTGATACTAGTGTAATCACAACCTCTGTACAACTGTGTGATACTAGTGTAATCACATCCTCTGTACAACTGTGTGATACTAGTGTAATCACAACCTCTGTACAACTGTGTGATACTTCTGTAATCACATCCTCTGTACAACTATGTGATACTAGTGTAATCACAACCTCTATACAACTGTGTGATACTAGTGTAATCACAACCTCTGTACAACTGTGTGATACTTCTGTAATCACAACCTCTATACAACTGTGTGATACTAGTGTAATCACAACCTCTGTATAACTATGTGATACTAGTGTAATCACAACCTCTGTACAACTGTGTGATACTTTTGATCACAACCTCTGTACAACTGTCTGATAGTTTTTTGAGAAGAACCTTGGTACAATTGTGTGATATTTGGTGATCAACACTCCAGTACAACCTCTGAATTATTTACGATATGACCGAACGCCTGATAGCATATTGCAGTTCTCCAAGGCATCGATACCGTCCTGATACTGTGTGATAATGGCGTGCTCACAGCCTCTGTACATCTGCCTGATACTTTTCAACCAAAACCTGAGAATAACGGATACTATTTTTTTCATATCATTTCGAAATTTTAGTCAGACTTCAGATTATTCACCGCACAGAACCAGCACCCCTGTTAAGTTGCTATATTCTTGAGAGCACTCGAGAAACCACCGTGGTTTTATCTGATCTGTGATAATATTTTTTTTCTTAGGGTTACTTGCGTTATCTTGCCGATGTCTCATGGAGCTGCGATGTATTATCTTGTCATTTCATATCTTAGATAGACAACACTTGTCAAGGTGAGGTCACTTAGGAATGTGGACATCCTAGGGTATAATGTCGGTCGTTGACAAAAATAGCACCATTGATGAAAATAAACGATTATGGTAACTTCATCGAGACAGCTACTAAAATATGTACTGTACCTACAAGAATGGTTTGGGTACCTTAATTTCGCTATATTAAGTATTATGTGAGCTTTAAATATGTCGGCGGATTGACTGAAACTGAGTGGATCGAAGGCAGCCTGGCGGTTCTGTAAACATGGCATCCTACCAACGTTTTGACGGAGAAAAGATATACATGTGTATACCTGTTGCTAGTTAAAACAGGAACAGAACCCCTTTCACAGAAATGGCCAAACTGTTGCATCAAGACAACATCGATGTCCATTTCGTTATTTCAACTTGTGATTTTTGTTGTATACTTTTATGACATGAATGAATACCTGAAGTTACACGATCAGATGTGAAAATATTTTACCAGACTCGTGATGTCACTGTTTGTTGTAGCAGTATCCATGCGTAATAATTTTTTTCTTCTATTTGAAGTAGACATGAAGTTTCAGTTTCCAGTCAATCCGCAAACTTCAAGGAGAAAATCCTTTTGTAGACTGACATTTTCTCTTGAACAAATCTCGCGCAAATCAATTACATATTGCATTCGAACTTTTAATAGTAAATGCAAGACGGCACCGCAAAATAGATGTCAAAACCTTTTTACTAAGACAAAAAAACAAATGTGAAAATATTTACTATTTTCATAAACGTTTGCACTACTACCGTCTTTCATAGGGATCACAGTTCTTAGTTTGAGGTTGATAGTGTTTGGTGTTTTAGACGATCTAGGTGCATGACTTGATTGGATTTGAAATTTTCTATCGCGAACAAAAAATACATGACGTTTAGCAATTAAGATATGGACCAATCCAAGGAGGCTGCAATCTTGGGTTCCTACCCATTGTCTTAGTATCATTGAGTAGATGACAATATCTAAACGACTCTTAATTCAATCTATTTCTCTGTATTCAGGCTACATCTTTCAAAGATTTAAGTATAACCTGACAATTGTCTAAACCTTATGGAAGCTACAAGTCTCTTTCATGCATCAGTCTATTTGGCACGAGGTCGTACGAGATTTCATGAAAAAAAGGACTTCTAAGAACTAATGGAGAAGTTGAATTTTAAGGAATTTACTCCATGTCCCTTGTTGGGCCCCGCCCCTCCCATCCAAGGGGGAGGGGGATCCAGTGTTTATACAAAACTAATTCTACTTCACCCAACAAAACTTCAGACTAAATTTGGGAAATATCCATTCATTTCTACATCCCCTAATGGACCCTCCCGACCCAGGGGGTCGAGACGTACCATTTGTTCAAAATTGATTCCCTTCACTCACTAATGCTTCAAACTAAATTTGGGCAATATCCTAACAAATTCCAGTCATTCCTACAGGAGGAGTAGAATTTTTACAATTTGCCCTTGTTGGCCCGGCCCCGTAAGCAAATAGGGGCCGAGACCCACCATTTATATAAAATTTGTTTCCCTTTCCCTAAGGAAGCTTCTGGGCTAATTTGGTCAAAAGTCGTTTATGATAAGTAGCGATTTGTAAGGAAAATTGACGGACGGACGACGGACGCCGTGGTATGCCATAAGCTTACGTGGGCAGGTGAGCTAAACAAACAATTTAAATACAATGTAAGTCAGTTGTTATTCAGATATTGGGGGCCTTGCATTATACATCTGTATGCCGACTGATGTACCCGTTTGTGAATGGGTTGACACCATGTTTAAATATCATACATTTCCTGTAAAGGAAACATTGCTCACAACATGAAACATGGGTTGGAACATCCTCTGGCAAGAAGTACTATGCTAAAGTGGTATTGGTGTTCAAGCAAACGTGCAAACTGCCCTTGAGACTTGAAGCGAACCCAAACATGTTAAGCACACATGGTCTGAAATTTTATCAATGCCCTGCCATGCATGTCGTTACAATAAATTCCCAACGTTAGTGTCATTCATCTGTCTCAACCGGAAAGGCGGTCGCCATCTTTCGCTAACATCAGAATTTATGAGCATATTGGGATCAGATTGTAAAAATTAAAACAAAAACAAAGTGTAACACAACCATTAATTCAGAATTGCAGTTTGTATGTTCTCGCACTTCTGTTCATACATATTATGTACACGACATAACGTTCACTATGGAATAGGGGCAGTGACATATAGACTGTTGTCATTGTATGCAGTTACATGACGACACTACGAGTGCCTGGTTCTTCTGAGATTGCTACGTGTCCTCCCTCCGATCTCCTGAAACAAACTAGAAATATAATGGGTGCAGAAGTTGGTGGCAATTCTATAATATCACAAAACAGTTCAGTGTCCAATCATATGATTGTTGAATTTATGAACAGAAATTCATTCATTCAGTTTCGTCTGAAATTAACTGAGACTCAAGTCCTTGAAATTGACGATATTCAGACATCCTTACAGTCTTTATCTGTGAGGGTGAGTGACGTGGAGAGTAAAGTCATTGAGGTTTTAAAAATACCCCTGCGAGTTAGAACATAGCACACAGACCATCAATGGCATGTTTATCCAAGGATCTGCTAAAACGTTTCATATCAGAAGAGCTGAGCTGGGAGTTACGGAGGATCTGCTGAAACGTTTCATGTCAGAGGAGCTGGGAGTTATGGAGGATCTGCTGAAACGTTTCATATCAGAGGAGCTGGGAGTTACGGAGGATCTGCTAAAACGTTCCATATCAGAGGAGCTGAGCTGGGAGTTACGGAGGGTCTGCTGATAAGTTTCATATCAGAGGAGCTGAGCTGGGAGTTACGGAGGGTCTGCTGATAAGTTTCATATCAGAGGAGCTGGGATTCACGGGGTTCGGAAGCGTACACCGTTTCGGGAAGTGCACAGGCAACAGCCCCGCCCAATCGTCGCACGTTTACATACTTTTAACCAGTTGTCCTTTGAGACTTAAGGGTTCATCTTTCGGGATTGACAATGACATCTCCCACTTTCAATCGTCCTGCTGCTTCTTTGCGACCGACCCCAGATGCTCGATGCAACCAGTCTGTACTTGTTTCTAATTGGACATCTGTGAAATCCGTTGGCGTATGGGGGTTAGCGGAAGATATTTCCAAACTTCGAGTTTGGTCTTAGAACGTTCAGAGAAATTTAAGTAGTAGGCTTGGTAAGTGAGGGATTTCGTTATATCTTTGATGTCTTTAACATTGTGTGTCTAATAGAATGTAAAACCATTTTATTGTGAGAGAGTTTGAATCCCACTATTTCAGAGAGTTAAGTGTAAAAGGTGGTGGTAAAGTTTATATATATCCAAGAGTCTGTAGAAGCTAATAGTCTGGATCAATATTCACAGTAAGCTCTTTTCAGATGACAAAGATGTCTGTCGCATTAATTTGCTTACCTCCTGAAAGGTCCACTTTTTATGAAGTGTATGATGAGGATATATTGATCTGCTTGAAAATGGTATTGGAAAGTTCACTACACTAGGTCATGTCACTGTGATGTGTGATCTAAACAGTAGAACTGGAAATATACCTTACTATTTGTCCAATAATACATAATGTTATTGATAATGTATATCACGATCTAAGTCTAAGGCTGTAAATATGACGATACGAATAGTTCTAGTGTGTTATGATGTAACTAAATGAACATGAGATGTCAAAAGTTTGCAAGAATACAGATGTATTCAATGAAGCAAAAATGAAATATCGTTGTTCAAATAAAACACTACATAATTAAATTCTATATGATAAGTGTGCATTTGGAGATGTGGAACATGACCAAATTTAGAACCTCGATGAAATAGAGCTATCAAACAGATCAGACGCTCAGAAAGTTTGCGGGAAATGATAAACTCTGAACAGTTGACGATAGAATTGTCATTGTGCTGATGTTATTTATAATGATGACATCAATCATAGTCATGTTCAGCAGGATAAAACTTACATCCATATAAAAACATCAAAGAGAAACTTTGATAACTAAGAAATGTCTGTTGACAGATAACAACTTGTTTATATCTCAAACGTTCAAAAATATGACTAGAGTTACAAAATATTAATGAGAATTAGATGTGTGGAGCCACAGCTGGATGGAGCTGACTATACCTTGAGCTAGTTCAAATATAGTAAAATTACTTATTTAGGTAATATAAAACTCTCTATGAAGAGTACCTAATAGTATGACGAGAAGTGAAACTCAATGTCACAACACTGCTGTGCACGAGATTATCCCGTTCCATGTTTTTCCCCGGGAGACATCGTCACGCAATACAATGGAACATTCGATAGGACTACGCGCTTCAATTTATACTCTTGTCCGAATTCCATGATACGTTGAAATGCTTTCTGACGGTCGTTCGGCTTTAACTGGATGTAAGTAAAGGCTATCTCTCCGCTAGTACAATGTCAACAGGTGAATTGGCATGCCACCGTGTACAAATTGGTATATCTCACCGACTTGGGTAGAACAAGGGGTGTTAATCACTACTGTTTGTTTTGTGAACCCATAGATATGACATCGGGATGTAGGAGGTGACTGTAGGGGATCAGGAGGTTTGCGATTGCTAGAGAGCTTTGTAAAATAGTCGGATCTATGCTTTCCATAACTTTGTTCTTAATCCATTTAAATGACATCAGAAAAATTAGATAGATGAAAGATATGTATGTTTTTGAACAGAAATTGCTGAACACTCCCCTTGTCGTTCCTCATTGTCAAATTAAGGGAACGGCGTGGCTGCCGTCTTGCTGTGAACATTCGTTAAAGGAAGATGGAGAAATTGTCTGCAGCATTATTTGTTTTTGTTTTTGTTTTGGCGCATGGACGAGTCATAGATCCACAACCATGTCGTAAGTAGAAGATAAACACCCACATCTAGTATATATATGATAGACATATACACCTGGTATATATATGATAAACACATACACCTGGTATATATATGATAAACACATACACCTGGTATATATATGATAAACATATACAACTGGTATATATATGATATACACATACACCTGGTATATATATGATACACACATACACCTGGTATATATATGATATACACATACACCTGGTATATATATGACAAACACATACACCTGGTATATATATATATATATGATAAACATATACAACTGGTATATATATGATATACACATACACCTGGTATATATATGATAAACACATACACCTGGTATATATATATATATATATATGATAAACACATACACCTGGTATATATATGATATACACATACACCTGGTATATATTTGATAAACACATACACCTGGTATATATATATATGATACACACATACACCTGGTATATATTTGGTCAAGCAACTCTCTAGGTTACAGTGAACATAGTCCTGTATCCATTGTATTGCGTGACGATGTCTTCCGGGAAAGCATGAAAGGGGATAATCTCGTACATAGCAGTGTTGTGACATTGAGGTACACTGCTCGTCATACCATTAGGTACACTTTATAGAGACAGATTGTATCCGATATTTTGATTAATTTCTGATAGCATTAAACAATGGCACGGTTGACGGAAGTTCAGAGGGGTCAGGCCATTGCGATGATTATGTAAGTCAAAGGCAAATACAGGTTGACAGACATTTCGGTGGCTTGTCTGATTTTTGGAACTTGTTTCAACTCGAACTCACGAATTCGCCGTACCTCCAACCTTAAAAAAATCAGTGAAACTTTGAAGATATTGAGGAAGTGAACGGAAATATCTATAAGACTGTCGAAGTTCAATCATATACTTGACCGCTATAGTAAGTTTTGTAAACATAGTCTTTCAGTTCATTAAAAGATATATATAAATTTAAGAGGATTTAAGAGAGTTGTAGAGATAAAAGTGTCTGACCTGGAGGCCATGTGCTCTACCCTTTGTATGACAGTGAATTTTTCACATTACTTGTTTGGACCCTAGTGCACTTCTAGTTTATCTATAGTCTTGAACTTCTTGTGAACTAGTAGTCTTTTCCTCGTGTACTACTAGTGCACTAGTGTGAACAAATGAGTCTACGCTGAACCGTATATAAATCCGAATCATTTTAGCGTTCTATCGACTTTTATTTGTCGGTCTTTCCAAACCAATATAGGAAATAAGGAAATGTGAAGTTCTAATTATTTTCGATACTTGCAATATCTATTGTTAATACAGAGCTAATCCTACAATGTGAAAATATTTCTGCGGATTACGCTTTTATCTTAATTACACACACAAGTCAATATCATTAAGTTACGCAGTAAAAATATTGTGGAGTTATTGTCTCGCTTCCATTGGAGTATATTACAAAGAATATATATTTAATGGCATGTACCAAGTTATAATCTTCTGTTCAAACATGCTTTGAATTTGGATAATTGATGACTTGTGATGGAATCGTAATGGCGTTGAAAATTGAAATCTGACGTGGGTGGTGATGAGTGATAAAAGTAATCGGTACGATTTGTACACACACTAAGTACTTTTGTATAATGATTCTGATATTAAGTTTGAACTATCAGTTGAGATATCTGAAATCAATTTATCAGACTTCCGAGCATGTATGTTTTTTAGGTAAACACCGTATTTCACAATTTCCACATATTTCCAAACCTAAATTAATACAATATTCATTACTTACTGGATTCTGTTAAAACACACACGCACACCTACCCAAGGTAGGATAGGTGAGTATTTTGAGTGTCAATAGGTATTTTATGAGGGTATATGAGCATTTTGTGGGTGTAGATAGGTATTCTACGTTTTATGTATTTAGATGAGGATTTTTGAGCGTGGATAGGTATGTTATGGGGGTAGAAAGTTTTCTGGATATTACTAAAATATAATATTTCTAGATTAAAAGACATCTCTACGTATTTCATAATTATGAACATGTATATTTAGAGTTTCCTGGTAATATCATCTGTTCTAAATACTTTAAATCATAGAATGCCCAATAGTGAAGTCATGGATTCCTGACAGTATCTCGTGTATTTAGTGAGTACCAACATACTTTATGAAGAACATCTCAAAGGTAGAACATTTATACATATGTTTCATGTGATAGTTTGATAAGTCTCAAATACCTTTAAATCAGAAAATAATCTATTGTAAAGTTAATACACCTCAAAAGATTATGAATATGCAATTAATAAGGTAAGATTATAACAAAATTGACCTCAACCGCTGTATCTTGGAATTAAGACACGCCCTGCAAATTAACGGGGAAATGCTCCAGTTTACATGTACTTTTGAATACGTACCTTTACTTTTGGATACCCTTCATCTTTTTTTCTTTATAAAATATTGGTTTTTCTTTATAAAATATTGGTTTTTCTTTATAAAATATTGGTTTTTCTTTATAAAATATTCGTTTTTCTTTATAAAATATTGTTTTTCTTTATAATATATTGGTCTTTCTTTATAATATATTGGTTTTTCTTTATAAAAGATTGGTCTTTCTTTATAAAAGATTGATTTTTCTTTATAAAAGATTGATTTTTCTTTATAAAATATTGAAGAAGATATCATTAGCACTGAAGATTACTGTATCCTGAACTTATCGTGTTGAATGAGAAATAACGCCTTTATCTACATTACTGTAATGGTGTGGTTCCAAAATCTACTCACAATCCGATTTGTTTAAAACATTTGCAGTATTTTAGATAACATTAAAAGATACCCGAATATGTCATTCCTTTTTCATTCTATATCATTAACCTGGTTTGGTTTACCTAAAAGGAAACTGTAATGCATTTCCAAAGGTATGTTTGGGTTTAGGTTTTTTTTTTTTCCGTTTTATTATCTTATAATGTTTTTTTATACCGAGACATAAACTCCTCCAGTAACGTTACTCTGAGGGAAAGGCAATGCAAGTGTGCTGTTTCATTCCAAATAAAATATACTTTCGCTGGATGATAAAGCCTAAAAGGATAATTAGGAGGTCTTTGCATTTTCAACATTTCAGAGATACAATTAAATCAACGTTTTTATAATAATAAATGAACCAAGAACGTGTATTGTATTAGTTTCCAACAAGCAAGTCTCGGTTCTGGTATCATTTGTATGTCAACAACATGCAGATTCAGTTGGTTTTGTACCTGCAGTGTGGCAGCACATATATACCCCCTGTGCATTTGCCTGCTAGATACTGGCACTATTGACCTTTAATAGTATCATCCTTGTCGTCCACGTCACGACCTGCTGTCCGCTATCCAAACATTTGGTTTGGGATTTGTGACGAGAATGTATTTGTCCTCTGATGAGGCTATCATCGAGCTGGTACACTGGAAATTATCATCAGGTGTTCTGAAATGTACCCTGAGGGCTTGCTTGATTTGATAAGCGCCACGCGGTGTTTTCCAGGATTCTTTATCAAGTTCTGTCAAATTCCATTCCAATATTTCCCTTCGGCTTACATCAGGTTAAATGAGAACTCTGTCTGCCAAATAATTATACATCCCTCCTTCTCCTACTATAACTGTTACTACTACTACTAAAACAACCAAACCAGCGCGATTTCTCCTAGAGTTTAGCCAATGACACACAAAGAGATATGTAATGTGTTGGTAAACTGTTGTCACTGGCTTGTTACCAATGAATGCTGATGCTGGTTTGATGTGGATGTTTAATGCTGTACCCTGTTCTGAACGAGACGCTGGTTTAAATGTTTTAGTATTGTTGATGTTGTTGACAGCTTCTGTGTATGTTTTCTGATTATTTTTGGTGGTATTTACTTTTGTGTACTGTTTAGTCTCGGTTTTGTTTTGTTTGATGTAACCATCAACAATAAAATGTCGGAATTGTGTGGTGTCCGTTTGGCTTCGGTATTTGAACTAAAGTAGAACTGATGTTGTTTTACGTTTGAAGTTAACCATCCTTGTAGCTTTTATAATCAGCGGGCTGATAAATAAACACCACCACTATCCCTACCAGTTTGAGTTCCCTCCCGTTCAGGTTGGGGGCTATATAGAAGGGTCTACTAGATAGGGGAATAGGGAAGTCCGTGGACTTGTTTTGCGTTTTTTCCTAATATGGGCATTTCTTTAATTGGTATACCTTGAGATTCGCGCTGTTGATCAACAGGCTTTTATCAAATATTCTCGGACGTTACCGAAGACCCCCAATGAAAGTCATAGTATCGTTCACAACCGATCACTAACAACATATCACAAGCTATAAAATATGCATGTTTTGACCAGTTACGAAACCCGTCGTTTTGGACATCAGCAAACTGTCTTTCTTGGAGATAAAATAGTGCCATATACCAACCTTGGTATACAAAGCATAAGGTAAATTGTTTGTAACATTTTTCGGATTTAACTAATCATATCAATATGGGAGTTAAGCAAAGTGAATATCATAATTCCTTGTTCATACATTAACTAAAACCAACGTTTTCATCCACAAAGAATCACAGAAATCACAGATGAACGGAGAGGGTTTGTATAAGGGTCGGTGAAGCTTGTCTGTACATACACGGGTGTGCTTTATAAAAGGTTGATATGACAGCTGTTCATAACAGCAGCGTACAGCGATGTTTTCAATAAAGGCAGTCCCTGTAAAATATTCACATCCTGTATCAATGTATTGTTGTAATAATCGATAATTTCCTTTCAAAAGATTCTCTGAGTAATTGATAATAAATCAAACCTATAATTAAATCCTTTATTACGCTTTTTGTAAATTAGCCATTAAAACCTATGGCGGCTTTACATAGAAAAAAATGAAGAAAAAGGTGGATTAAAGAGATGTCATTGACAATTACTACTACTACCACCACCGCCTCCACCACCACCACTACTACTACTATCACCTCCACCACCACCACTACCACCACAACCACCACCACCACTACTACTACTACTATTACTATCAAATATTACAACTACTTCTACTACATACCCCCACCCCATCATCGGGTTTCCTCTCGATATCATCGGGTATATATGTGATTGCATTTTAAACATGTACTGATTGGCTTTGAACATTCATCTTTGAAATCTAAAGCATTGTACCATTTTTTTCTGAACAGGATCCCCGGTACAGTGGGAGGCACAAGTATACATGGTATGTATCCATGAATTCTAGTGATTGATAAACAATTCATAAAAACAAATGGTGACAGCTGTTCGGGACATCCTTTGTTTCATAGACTGTGCACATCTCAATGTATTACAAAATGAACCCAATGTTAGTGAGAAGGATCTTGATTGGTTGAGCCCAGTACTTTCAAGCCAAAGTGGAATTTGTTTTGGAAACAAGAGTAGTCAGAAACTTCGTGTTTGGATGTAGACAGTCAATTAATTCTAATTTGGTCGTATCAATAATCTGTTTTGCAAACATAAGTCTTAAAACATGTATGTAACAATGAAACATCACAAAATGGCGTTATTTTTTTTAAAATACATTGCTGACTTTTAAGACCATCAATTTCACACCGTTCCTTTATATCCCCCCTCCCCTTCTCCTCCCTCCTCCACCCCTAACCCCATCCCGAAAAGAAATAAATAAGTAAATAAATACTGCTATTACTACGTGGAACAATGATGACATGTTTGAATTGTTTCTGTTTTTAGCAAAACGTGATGTTGAGGTATACAGAATGGCGTAATCTTAGTTACGACGCCGTAAACCAAAGGGAATTTAGGTCAGCGGAAGTAGACGTGGCGGCAGAGCATGATCACATCGATACTCTTATTCTCTGGAAAGAGGTACATCATGTAAAACAAGTTTTCTTTCAAAAAAAAGAAGTATCGTGAAACACCTTGTTTTATGTTTGTCTGAAATGCTTTGATCATTCTGAAATACTTTGATTTAAATATTTTGTAATCATATCAAGATTTGACCTTCGCTGATTTCGATCGGATATTTGACTTTCAGAAGAAAATGTACGAGGTGAATCGGTTTTTTAACGAGTGTACAATTACAAACCTGTCTGGAGAGTTTAGACCCCGAGGTGTGCCGGCGTCCAATACCACTTATGAAGAGGGCTACCTAATTGGGGGTCAAGGGTTACCAGGCGAACACATGACAGTCTATAACTTTTACACGGAACTGGCAGACGGTGAGCAGGTATTATTGAATATTTATAAATATGGTCGGTGTAAGATGTGTGTTGATGAAAGCGACACATATAACATCTGTCGCTACATATATATCACAATTTTTTTTTCATAAAATGAAATGATTTTTGAGGATGGAATTGAATACATGCTGACATTTCTGAGTGACATCATGATGGATCTTGAGATTACCCATCACACCGATATGACACTCTACAATAGTTTTCAGTAGCCCTATTTTCTGCATTATGACATTCTACAATGTCTCTTGAGTGTTCTCATTTTCTATGTGATGAATTTTGGACCAGTCGTCATTGTGATGGCGTTATCAAATGCCTCTTGACTGGCCCAATTATATATACACACTTGGAAAGGGCTACTAACTGTGACCAATCATCAGTGTGATGGCACTCTAGCTCTTTAATGGTCCGATCATCGGTGCGATAGATCATTCGTGCAATGGCGCTGTCAGGTTACTTTTGGTTGGACCTATAAGTTGTTTTATGGCATTCTCAGATGGATGTTGAGTGATCCAATCATCTGTGCGATGACATTTTCTAATGATTCTAATGGTTCTTATGTGGACAAATCATCCGTATGCTTACTCTAAAAGCAGTTTCTATAGCGTCCTAACTCGCTGTGTAATGTCACTCAAAAATGACACGTAATTTGAACCCACATCAGTGTGACGGCATTTTCAAAGTTATTTTTGGATTCTATTATTCGTGAGAGAGTACTCGAAAATTATTCTTAAGTGCCCCTATAATCCGTGTGATGTCACCTTAATATAGCTTTTGAGTGGTCCCACTGTCTATGTGTTGGCATCTGAAAATAATTACTGAGTGGCTGAATTACCAACCTAATGACTCACTATGTTGGTGGCTCGTGATGGCCTCATCGTCCGTCTGATGTTAGACTGAAACGGCTTTTAATCAGTCCCATCAACCTTGTGTGGTCACTCTGAAATAACTCCCGAGTGACCCCATCGTCCGCGTGATGTCACCTTAATGTTACTCCTGAGAAGCCCTATCCTCCGCCTGATGTCACTTTAATGTGACCCCTGAGTTGCCCTATCCTCCGTCTGATGTCACTTTAATGTGACCCCTGAGTTGCCCTATCCTCCGCGTGATGTCACCTTAATGTGACCCCTGAGTTGCCTTATCCTCCGCCTGATGTTACTTTCAAATGATTCCTGAGTGATCTTGTCATCCGCGTGATGTCAATCTGGGATGACCTCGGTGTTGTCCCAACATCTGTGTTTTGGCTTCTAAAACTGACATACTTTGGATATGGCTCTTGAATAACCTCATCTTCCATGTGATGCCACTTTAAAATTACTCCTGAGTGGCACGATCATCCGTTTAATGTAACTCTTAAATGTCTACTGAGTGAAGTCATCCTTCATTTGATTTCATTCTTGAATGTCTTCATTGTCCGCATGGTGACACTGTAAGTTGTCTCCTAATTGGTCCAATTATCCGTGTTAAATAACTCGTGAGTGACGCCATCGTCCGCGCGATGTTACTCTAATATATTCTAAGTCGCCCAACTATCTGTGTGATACTAAGCATATCGTAATTATTATTTTAATTGTGATATCGCACTCTGAATGGTTCTTGAGTTTCAACATCATCCGTGTAATGCCATTCAAAGATGTCTTCGAGTTGTACTTGTGTCTTGGCATCTAAAAAAATATACTCTACTAAAAAAGAAACGCACAAAGTTCTAGCCTGCAGTTCACCATAACTGTAAGGAAATAATGTACTATTTGGTCAGGTATTACATCGAGATTTATCTCCCTTCTCAACAATCTACCCTATAATCAGCCAAGCGTGACGATGGCATCGTCTAACTTGGTGAGCTTCTTTAGTCCAAATCACGCGGCGTGATCAAGCCAAGCCGGATTTTTTAAACAAATAATTTCAGTGGATACTCTAAGCTTAACGCAAATTCAGAGGGGTAAAGCAATTGCAATGTTGATGGATGGTCAAGCCAAACTGCCGCTGCATGACAGTTTTGGCGTTGCCCCGTATACCATTAACCTATATACACGTTCCCATGTTGCTGGGTTAGTTTCCGATCGTCCTAGAAGCAGTCGTCCGCGTGTAACGACCGCACGACAAAACGGGGACTGCGTTGCATACCTTAGGTACTCATAGCAGACTCATTAGTGCTGAAACTGACAGGAACCGCTTGCGTGCCGAGATAATCATTGCACTCCGGCCTTATATCGGGCCAAATCTGACACCACGGAAGAGGCAAGTGTGTCTTAACTTGATGCGCAGACATGGCCCGAATAGGTTTGGGATACGTCGGTGGAGGCGTGTGATGTTCAACAACGAGTGTAGATTCTGTCTGTATCGCTCAGACGGAAGAAAAAGGGTATATCGCCGATACATGTGTGGGCTTCTGTAATGGTTTAGGGAGACATCTCTCATTGATTAAAATTCCCCATAGTGGTTCTGGATCTATACCTCAATGCCGTTCGGTACAGATGCCACATGTCCTTCCACTTCTCGGACGTCATAACCTAATCTTCTGCAAGACAATGCTCGACCACATGTTGACAGAGACTGTCGTGATTTTCTTAAATTAACTTTATCATCCACTCGATGTCTTTCTGAAATACCATCTGAGTCACCCATCGTCCGCGTGATGTAACTTTAAAAATAAATCCAGAGTAAACCCATCATTAGCATGATGTTATTCTAAAGCAACTTCTGAACGACGTCATCGGCCGTATGATGTTTTTCTAAAGGTATTCTTGAGTCACCCATCACCTGCCTGATCTAACAGTAAAATTACTTCTGAGTGGCGCAATCATGCGCTGGATGTTACTCTGAAATTATTCTTGAATTGTCCCATCGTCTGGCTGATGTCTCTAGTTAAGATAACTCATGAGTGGACCAATAATTCGCGAAAGTCACTTCAGAAAAAGACTTCTGAGTTGACCAATAATTCGCGAGATGCCACTTCAGAAAAAGACTTCGGAGTGGACCAATAATTCGCGAGATGTCACTTCAGAAAAAGACTTCGGAGTTGACCATCATTTGTGCGGTGTCAGTGTACAATAACTCCTGATGACGCTATCATCCGCGACCACGGGATATTACTCCACAGTTACTCATGAGGTGCTCATGTTCCGCATGAGGTCACACTAAACTGACTCCTGAGTGACCCGTCATCCGTGTGATGTCACTCTTCAATTACTTCTGAACGTCTAAATACTCCAGATAATGTCATTCTAAGATTGATTCTCAGTGGCCCAATCATCCGCAAGATATCACTCATATCATTTATATTATCTTGGCCTAGAAACAAAGTGACTGACACAAGGCCATCTTGGCTTTGACAGTTAAACATTATTATCTCTATTTCTTAAGAGAAATTTTATATTAATATGAGCAAAAACAGAAAAAAAAATAATCCAATTTGTAAATGGCGTATATAGGTCAATGGCGGATGCCATGATAAAGATGGCCTATTCTGTTGTATGTGTTTGTTTTCATTTCAAACGGATGTCTTTGACATTGCCTTGTATTAAACAGGTCACCTAACCAGTCTCGTGTCCCACCCAAGCTGTTTCCCTATTTGGGATTACCATTACACCACTGACCAAGGAATCCAACACAGCATGTAAGATTTGAGTTCTTTTTCCCTTTCCATTGCAATATTCATATTGTAATAATTAATCCAATTCACATTTCAGTAGGATCTCCCTGCATATGACATATACGTGATTATTGGTATTAAGGATGCGAGCACTACACATCACAATGTTTACTTTTGGACGTAAACATAAAAATATATAAAGAACTTCAGGACGTAAACACTGAAAGTCACAATGCTCACAGTGGGACATAAACAATATACAATCACATAAGTGACTTGAGCATGTAATTACTATAAAACACACTACTTATTTGTAGAGTTGAAAACTGAAAGTTCCACTACATTTTAGAGTCTTTCTTCATGCTTGTTGAGAATGTAAACACACAAAAAATTCTGCAACTTTAGAATGTAAATGCTTATAATCACAAAACGCCAACACTAAAATCACCTTACTTATTTTACAAAGAATACGCAAAAATACTTCAGAACATAAAAATAAAAAGCACACTACTATCTTTAGGACGAAACCTAAAACCCGCACTACTCAGTTTCTGATCTAAACATGAAAAATCACCTAAACTGTTAGTTGCAATGACAAAAATAGATATAAAAATGTCAATATGAAATTTTGAGAGAGAGACACACACACAGAGGGAGACAGAGAGAACAAATGAAAGATTTATCTTCCACGAGAAGATCTAGGATTTTTGGAGAAAAATGTATCAATTTACATGAAATTAACAAAACACAAACGTGGGATTCCAAGAAACATTTATAATACAAACCTTCGTAAACTTTTACATGGGGGTAAGGGGCTAACAGCCGGTACTTTGAAGTCCAACACACTGTGTTTAAATATTTAGAAATAATAAGTACCCATCAAGGTATAAACATCAACAATAAACATATGCAAAATCAGGTAAATTGTCAAAAAGATTAAACTTTAACTTGTGACTCTTACCTTAGAGCGGATAATCATATTATATAGCAATATATAAAAAAAAGTATTTTTTAAGCAACTTACATTACCATGTATTATTTTCTTATTGTTTAGATGATAGAAAGAATTGTGGTGTACCATCTGCATTTTGAAATTACCGTAAATGTTCACGTTCCTTTTAGACTCAAAACAACAAAGAAAACTCTGACATATTTCAAAAAAGCAAAATTCAAAGACAAATTAAACAAAACTAAAGCAAGGAATGAACAAAAGTAAAATTATATGGAGACTCGAGAAAAAACACAAGAAGAATCAAACCAGATGTTCCGAAAGGCTAAGCGTCTATTTTTCTTATCAACGACACCAGGCATGTAAATCTTGGTCAATCCAATTAAGTAGTGTCACGTTCCCAATTGTTAGTAAGGCAAACAACATGCGGTCACCAGGTGTATCACCGAACATCAAACATGTCTGGTTTTCATATCGCACAAATAAATAGAATATTTCCTGATGAAATAGTGATAGCTACAGTAAGTTTTCCTCAAAATCTTCATCAACCTGCATCTCTCAAAGGCTGCATTGTAAATTTCTCTGTCAGTTGCCGACATCTTGGGGATGTTGCTAACTGGAATCAGAAATTCACAAAAGAGAGCTTGGTGAAAAATGTCGATGTTGGTAACGTTGTAGGAAAAGATCGAAGTAAGGGGTTGATGTAGAAGTGTTTGTAGTGTCCTTAATGCCTTATTCTGATGGGTATACACGATGAAAAAGGTAGATAAATTTCTTGTTATTTAAGGACAAGACGTCATCAATACACTGTTGTATACCTCAAAGTGAAAATTTCGAGATCTCGCAAGGTCTTTGTGATCCGTTTTAATGCATTCAGCTTTAGATGAAAACAAGTAACAAGTCATGACAGGGGTACAATAATCCAATCCAATTCCTCCTGCCCCAGGCCTTATAACACAGAAACTTTTAGTTTAATTTTTATTATGAACGTTGCTCTGAAGGATATCTTAGATAATCCATAGTAACTGTAATTAGATTCTAACAGGCCATCACAACTGTTTTAAGTGAAATAACGAGAAAATATTTCAAATTATATGACCATAAGTTTTAAGGTGTTCCTCAAACTCATCATTGTCTTTTCACAGATCAACATTATAAAAACACAAACACACAACGGAACAGTTTTATTTCAATTCGACATATCACCAACCATTATCTATTGAATTTGTATTATCCTATGACACTCATGTGTTTAACTTAACCTTATATTTTACTGTTTCAGATACCAAGGTTTGACACTAGGTATAGCCGATCCAAGTGTCTTTGATGTCCCAAAGCTTTGCCTCAAATAGATACCGCACCCAAAAGCATCTGTTTTAAATTTGCTTTTTACATTCATAATGAACCATATTTTCTGTTCTTTGTGTAATAAAATCATTGAGATGAAATGTGGCTATGCGTGCTGACTTTGCACTGTGTTCTACAATTTGAACAAACTATATTCAATTTGGTTCGTTGTAGACGTGTACATTATGCTATCGACTAAGAGTTGTTAGGTCGTCGCGCAACATTTTTGTTAGAGAGCCTGATCGGAAGTATACACCGATGTTTCCGTAATGTTTAACTTCTCTTTAGATAGTGTTTAATATTTATTTTGGAAGTGTTTAAGAATTGTTCGGTGGGGTAAACACTGGTTCCGTAATGTATAAAACTTGCTCGGTAGTGTATAACATTTGTTCGGTAGCGAATAACATTTATTCATACGTGTTTATCAATAGTATAGTAGTGTATACCATGTGTTTAGTAGTGTATACCATATCTTTATTAGTGTATACCATGTGTTTAGTAGTGTATACAATATGTTTAGTAGTGTATACCATGTGTTTAGTAGTGTATACCATGTGTTTATTAGTGTATACCATGTGTTTATTAGTGTATACCATGTGTTTAGTAGTGTATACCATGTGTTTATTAGTGTATACCATGTGTTTATTAGTGTATACCATGTGTTTAGTAGTGTATACCATGTGTTTAGTAGTGTATACCATGTGTTTAGTAGTGTATACCATGTGTTTAGTAGTGTATACCATGTGTTTAGTAGTGTATATCATATGTGTTAAGTAGTGTATACCATGTGTTTAGTAGCGTATACCATGTGTTAAGTAGAGTATACCATGAGTTTAGAAGTGTATACCATGTGTTTAGAAGTGTATACCATGTGTTTAATAGTGTATACCATATGTGTTTAGTAGTGTATACCATGTGTTTAGTAGTGTATAACATTTTCTTTGAAGTGTTTAATAATTGTTCGGTAGTGTATAACGTATAACAATGTTTGGATGTCGTGTATCCATTTGTTCTGCAGCGTATAACATTTGTTCGGTGGCTTGTAACATTTGTTCGGCAACGTATAACATTTGTTCGGTGGCTTGTAACATTTGTTCGGCAACGTATAACATTTGTTCGGTGGCTTGCAATATTTGTTTGGCAGCGTATAATATTAGCCGTTGCTATTAATGATCCAAGTGCTCATGACGTTGAACTAGCAGCATGTTTAGCAGTCAATGAATAGATTCATTTTCCATGTAATAAATTCCGAAATCGATATACCACTCACACAGGAAGAAATCTTCACCGCATCTAAATTCACGTTTACTACATGAAGTAGATCCCTATCCTTTATCCTGGTAATAGAAAAATACTTTAATTACATCGGGAGTGTTATCTAATGTTTTATTCTAACTTTTGAACGCAAACTGCATTGGAGCTTCAGTTATCCTGGTTACATTTTAATGTTTTCAGTCACCATCATAGGAAAATAATCCTTAAGTTCCCTGGTATCGAGAATTAGTCAGTCATAATTGTACAGGTAAATTATACATAAAGCAATACGTCAGTTGGGTCTGTATCGCTTGGCTAGTTCAATATTTCAAACATTTAACAAAGAATTTCAAAGATTGAAAAAATAAGCTCTGAAATAATTTCACTTCCGGTCACACGGAAATCGGGACAAAAAAAGGCATTCTTAAAAATAAGGAATTCAAAGAATTTTCTCTATTCTACCTATATATTCTGAGGTTGTTACGAACCTATCTTATATCTGTTACCTACTGTAGAAAAGTTTTCCGTACCGATACCAATCTTTTTGAAAACAGCTGAAATTCACACCCACAAGAACACCCGAAATACTTCCTTTTATGCACTTCATATGATAATAAAATCATTATGAATGGGTTTCAGTGTGTTTTTTTATGTATCTATAGCCATTTGAATTAGGGCTAAACTAAGGACAGTAAAGGATATTACACACAGATTTTATTTTTTTCAGTGTGCTTGAAGGTAGCAGGAAACAGTTAATTTGCATTTTTCCTGAGATCATCTACAACTTTATGTGTTGTTTTGTTTCTGACGGAAGGGTCACTTTCTTCCGGATAGCATGTTCCGGGTTCCGTACCTGTATTGTGAAGCATGGGGAAATGATCCGGGGTCGAAATACCATAATACCATAACGCCTACGGCAAGTGTAATACACTTATTGCAGTATAGAAAAATGTGATCTATTGTCTCTTCTGCTCTACAATGCATACAGTCTGGCGAGATATCTTTAACCATTATACTGCTGTTACTTTTTAATTTTTGTGGTTCCTAATCTTAGTCTTGTGATGATAATATCTTCTAATTTATTTCGTCCTAAACCATCTGATTAGTATTTGGTTTATCTATAATTTGCCTTAAGTTGTTGGATCTTTCCAAACTTTTCTGACCATTTATTATCGATTTGTGGATAGATAATAGAATATACTTCTGTCTTAGATAATCACACCTTACATTCTTATCTATTGATATAGTATTGTTTTACCTCATGTTATACATTTTCATGTATCTGAGGATCCAATAAACTTGAAACAGTACATTCTACTGTGTTTTTCTGTAGAACTTTTTTTTGCTAGATCATCAGCTTTTTCATTTCCAGATATACTGACAGGTGATGGTACATACTCAAAATTTACCATAATCCCCTGTCGTTGAAAAGATCTCAATGCCTAATTCAAAAGAATAAAAACCCAATATACATCCATCAACCAGGTTTTAAAATCACGTGAAAATGAAAGACTAGTACATAGACTCCTCGTCGAATTCCTAAGAAAAATTGATTACTTAGACAAAATATAAACGGTAAACAGAAAGGTCAAAGCACTGAAATATAGATAGTCCTATATCGCAATCTTTTATGATGAACAATAATTTGATCTTTCAAAACCGTAAATTGCTAAGTCACGTTTTAACGATTCATTTCCTCCTACATTGTATGATATATCAATTCCATTGTAAATCAAATTTAGATATGGGCATAAAGGCATTGTTTTGCCTGCGTCCATGATTCACTTAACTACTTAACTAAAGGGAGACAACTCCCAAACATCAGAAACCTACACAACATCATACACAACATTTAGGATCCCCAGGTTACCCAGATACACTGTACCAGGGAGGATTTCTACTGCCCCTCCCATTCATTGGTGCATATTGACACCTCATGAGGTATTTGGTGTCCTCCTCTTGGCCCCATCCCCAGCATTCACATTTGTGAATACAAATACAAATAACTTAAACAACACACACGTAAACACTCTCCTTCAATTATTTATTAAAACAAACAACTAAATAGGAAGGAAAATACACAAAGTCCACATTTAAGATCCTACGAACAGTATAGATCAAACATAGAGGGAACCTTCGGGTAAAACGGTCATGGACTGGCTTACTGTCGGATTCGTGTCTGATGTAAATAATTATAGGGGAATTACTATTGTCAGTTGTCTGGGGAAACTATTTACGTCTATAATTAATAATAGGCTGGTGACGTTTGACTTAAAATATAGTAAAATTACCGATGCTCAATTTGGCTTCAAGCAGAATCACTCCACTGTTGACGCTATTTTTGCATTACAATCAATAATTAATCGTACTTTGAGAAATAAGAAAAGATTGTACTGCTGCTTTGTAGATTATACTAAAGCGTTTGATTTCGTTAATCGTCAGAATCTTTGGTATAAATTAATAAAGGAAGGCATTGATGGAAAATTATTAAAGTTAATAAGATCGTTGTATAGTAGAGTTAAATGTTGTGTGAAGCATAATGGCTCATTATCTAATTACTTTGATTGTGAAAACGGATTGTTCCAAGGGGAAATCTTATCACCTATATTGTTTTCTCTTTATGTAAATGATTGCGAAATGCATTTTTTAACTGACAACTGTCCTTCCATTGAAATACAGACCTTAAATTTATTTCTATTAATGTATGCAGATGACATGGTGATATTTTCGGAGACGCCGAAAGGGTTACAAGATATGCTTAATTCTTTAAATACGTATACAAAAAAATGGGATTTAACTGTTAATACAAGTAAAACAAAAATCATGGTTTTTAGAAATGGTGGCATTCTGAGAAATGACGAGATTTGGAACTATGACGGTTGTCAATTAGAAATTGTAAATGAATTTACCTATTTGGGTCTGTTAATTAATTACAATGGAACTTTTAGGAAAACACAACAAAAAATTGCAGAGCAAGGACGCAAAGCTTTATTTGCAGTTACAGAAGTATGTCGTAAAAATTATTTTAATATTGAAACCCAATTGTCCGTCTTTGATACATACGTTAATAGTATTTTGAGATATGGGTCAGAAATATGGGGTTTTCATAAGGCACCTGATGTTGAAAAAATTCACATGATGTTTTGTAAAAGACTTTTAGGTGTGCTGAAAAATACTTGTAATAATATGGTTTATTTGGAACTTGGTAGGTTCCCACTGATGGTATCTAGAAAATTGCGTATAATTAAGTACTGGATGAAATTGAAAAGGACCGAAAATTGTATATTGAAATCATGCTACGATGATATGTTGGAGAAGAAAGACAAAGGGTTTTAAATATAAAAAATGAGCTGTATCATCTAGGTATAGGTTATATTTGGGAGTCAGAAAACTATTCGGATGTTCATTATAATATAATCAGAGAAAGAATGTTTGATATGTTTAGACAAGATTGTAAAGATAAAATCAGAACTTCCTCGAAAGGACAAATTTATACTCATCTTTATCATGATAATGATTTACAAAGCTATCTGAAAAAATCAATACCTAGGGAATTGTTGAGAGAAATTACAAAAATAAGACTATCTTCTCATAATCTAAAAGTAGAAAAAGGCCGATATCAAAATATATCAAGAAATTTAAGAATATGTTCTAATTGTGATTTGAATGATATCGAAGACGAATTCCATTTTATATTGAAATGTCCCTGTTATTCGAACCTCAGAAGAAAATTTTTGAAAAGATACTATTA